TTCCTTTGTAATTATGATTACTTTTTGAATTCAACTTTTGACCGCTTAAATCGTTAAAATCAACGTATGTGCGTCGCGAATTACAAAAAAATACATTTCAGTATTTCCTACACATTGCTAATAGCATAACATGTTTATATTTTAAATATTCTATTGGTAATTCACAGTCATACAAGTTGGGAATCAGATTTAAATTCGGTGATTTATTATTTTTAACAGTATTAAAATGGGTTAAATTGTCACTCCTAGCAGATGAACCGCACATAACACCGTGTGATAAGAACTTATAACAAACCTTTCTTCGGACGCTGCTTTAGGGATAGTATTAAAAAAATCTTTGAAATGTAAAACGTAGTTCTTTATCATGTTTTGACTAACGGAAATGACATGAAAGTTCTTGCTACATGATTTTATTGTTGTTATATACTCTTATGGCAAAAAAATTCGATCGACGCGTTTTTTCTGGTTTTAGATAATTCCGATATAACGATCGCAAGGTATGCCCTGGCTCAGTAAAACGATGGATTATAATACCAAATCTACTATATTACATAAAGTAACTAAAAATCTAACCAAAGTGTTATTTTTCTTTTGAGCAGTGCAATTATCGCTAAATAAATACAGAGATGATACAGTGATGTAAAAAACTTAATACATCATTCAATCCTTTTTTCGACAGAGTCATCTTACATAAAAAACTGTTCAGTTTTATTTTTGGTAGAATGTATACAAAAGTTGTGTACCCATTACCCATAGCTGCGGTAAATAAAATGTATCAAACAATTTGTCTGAAAGCCTTTTGTAAAACCTAATTACACTTGCCTCGGTGGAAAAAAAAATAACTATTGCATCGGGAACAAGTTAACCCTATCCAACATAAACAATAGTTAAACAACAAAGTTGGGCTGTGTAGCACAACTTTGATATCTAAAGCTTCACTCCTCTCATCTTTAGTATTTGCGCTACTGCCTCGGCAGCATAGTGCCCTCGGGATTTTCAAAATATCATTGAAATAAAAACTGTACTGCTTATTTTCTTAGTACTCACACTACTGCCTCGGTAGCCTCGGTTATTATCCAGCAAAATATTATTGAAATAAATGTTTTACTGCTTATATTTTTAATAAACGCGATCCTGCATCCGCAGCATAATTTCCTCAGCTACTATTCAATATAATGTCATTGAAATAAAAGCTTTACTGTTTATTTTCTTAGTACTAACACTACTGCCTCGGCATCGAGGCTGCCTTGGTTATTATCAAACTATGTATTATTGAAATAAAAGTGTTAATATCTTTAGTAAACGCGCTCCTGCCTCGGTAGGGATGCAACATCGCTCATAAAAACATCGATATTAGTACATCGATGTTTTCCAATTCTTTATCAATTTTTAAAATTCTTCCTTGTGATGGGCGTTAGGTTTGTTAGGCATCTCTCATTAAGTGTCCGACACGTCCTGTCCAAAAGTTTACTACATTCGCCATCAATACAAAATAAATTTCAAATATCGGCGTTGGAATAATTTACCATGATGTTCAATGACTTACACCCATCATCAAATGTAACTGATGACTCAAATGACAATAATAATACAAACATGGACCAAAAACTGTGAAAATTCCATAGCTTTCTAATAAAAAAACCTGCATTTCCTGCATGTTTCGATAAATTCACGAATACGAGAGAAACTACAATAAATAGATATAGGAATGTTGGAAATTGTAGAGAATTAAATTCCCTTTCGTGTAGGGCGTTCCATTTAAAATTTTCGACTTTCTCCCCATTGAATATGGAGAAACGGTAATTCAATTTTTGACCACTCTGTATAAGATACCCTGATGCAATATATGACAACCTATTTGAGAGCATCTGAAGAGTAATCGTGCCAATTTAGAGCTTTTTTGAATAAACGTTGGCTGGGATATAGGGTTTTAAAGAGCATGGTGAAATTTGCCAAAAAAACCTTAAAATCAAAATAACTCGAAAACGAAAAACGCTAGGTACCAATAACTTTTACGAAAGTCAACTAATTTTTTTACGTACAATTAAAAGGTGCAATAAAAACTATAGCATTCCATTTGAAATAACGAAGTTATGGTCTACTTCCGGTGGACCGGAAGTGGCAGCCATCTTGAAAATATTTTAGATCGAAAGTTCCAACTGAACAACCCACACTACCAAAATTTCAAAACTGTACGAATACTGGAACCTAAAAAAGTTCTAACGAACCAGTTACGTGAGACACCCATTANTTATCAATTTTTTGAAATTTTCTTGTGATGGGCGTTAGGTTTGTTAGGCATCTCTCATTAAGTGTCCGACACGTCCTGTCCAAAAGTTTACTACATTCGCCATCAATACAAAATAAATTTCAAATATCGGCGTTGGAATAATTTACCATGATGTTCAATGACTTACACCCATCATCAAATGTAACTGATGACTCAAATGACAATAATAATACAAACATGGACCAAAAACTGTGAAAATTCCATAGCTTTCTAATAAAAAAACCTGCATTTCCTGCATGTTTCGATAAATTCACGAATACGAGAGAAACTACAATAAATAGATATAGGAATGTTGGAAATTGTAGAGAATTAAATTCCCTTTCGTGTAGGGCGTTCCATTTAAAATTTTCGACTTTCTCCCCATTGAATATGGAGAAACGGTAATTCAATTTTTGACCACTCTGTATAAGATACCCTGATGCAATATATGACAACCTATTTGAGAGCATCTGAAGAGTAATCGTGCCAATTTAGAGCTTTTTTGAATAAACGTTGGCTGGGATATAGGGTTTTAAAGAGCATGGTGAAATTTGCCAAAAAAACCTTAAAATCAAAATAACTCGAAAACGAAAAACGCTAGGTACCAATAACTTTTACGAAAGTCAACTAATTTTTTTACGTACAATTAAAAGGTGCAATAAAAACTATAGCATTCCATTTGAAATAACGAAGTTATGGTCTACTTCCGGTGGACCGGAAGTGGCAGCCATCTTGAAAATATTTTAGATCGAAAGTTCCAACTGAACAACCCACACTACCAAAATTTCAAAACTGTACGAATACTGGAACCTAAAAAAGTTCTAACGAACCAGTTACGTGAGAGAGCCTGTATAGAATTTAAGTCTAACCAGTTTCGGGCCTTGGCCATCTTCAGAGACTCTATAAATAGATTAACATCTCTCATCTTATCCATTTTACAAACAAGTTTCTTAATATTTCTTTTTGTTTTGTTAAAAAAGATCACATATCAATGTCGAAATCAGATTATTAGTTACTAATTTACAAAATTAAAGTTTAAAAGTTGTCAAATAAAACTAAGGACGAAGTGTTACAAGTTTACAGATTGAAATTTAAGAACGCTCTTTTTTAACGAAAGAGATATTAAGAAACTTAGGGAAAATTCAAGAATCATCATGTGGCTTAAAAATCGACGACTTTTTTTAATCAATGTGAAATGAGCCAAAAATACGTTAAAAATATAAAGAAAGTGAATATCATTACATGATATTGATAATTAACTTCAGGTTTAAAATGGCAACCTCACTTTTGACATATTTGTAATATTCATTAAAAATCCTTTAAAATGAGAGCAAACACGACATATTTATCTTCAATATTAATGAAGTTATGGTCAACTTCCGGTTAAGAATGTCAACCTCAATTTTGACATATTTGTAATCGTCGTGAAAAATCCTTTAAAAACGTGTTATATTTAAATCCAATATTAATCGAGATATAAGCAACTTCCGCTTGAAAATGTCAATGTCATTTTGACATATTCATAATTTTTATAAAATGTCTTAATATTTGTCACAAAAACAAAAGTATAATAAAAAAAATAAGGTTGGTATTAATATTTAAAAATTAAATTGCTATCTTCATTGTTGCTAACTTAGGGTTTAATGTTTTTTATTCTAACTTTTTTGTTTTTTGAGTTCTCTTTGGACTCATTTTAAAGGTTTTTTAATGAAGATGACAAATATGTCAAAATTGACGTTGACGTTTCAAACCGGAAGTGATTACATTTCCATTAATATTAAAGTTAAATATGTCGTTTAAAAATATGCTCATTTTAAAAGATTTTTATGAAGTTGACAATTATGTCAAAATTAAAAGTTCGAATTTTTTGGTTTTTTGAGATAAATGTGTCAAGTTTGGACTCACTTTAAAGGTAACAATAAAATTAAAGTTGACATTGACAACTGAAAGTTTTTTTCACGACTAAACCCGAATGTTTCTAGTTCTCATTCTAGTTTTAGTTCAATAAAAATAGACAACAGAGTAATATCTTATGCTAACTAGCGCTACCTACCACTGCCCCTAGAACTAACACTAGACCGCGAACTAGAAACATTCGGATTTAGTCCCACGTCTCTCAAGACGGTTAAACCCGAATGATTCTAGTTCTAGATCTTGTGTTAGTTCTAATGATAGTGCTAGTGTAAAATTACACCTCTCACATTAGTCCTAGAACTGGAAATATTCGGTCTAGTGTTAGTTCTAGTTTTAGTGCTAACTAGCGCTACCTTCCGCTGTCGTTTGTAAAATGGATAAGATGAGAGATGTTAATCTATTTGTGGAGTTTCTGAAGATGGCCAAGGGCCGAAACTTGTTAGACTTAAATTCTATATAAAATAAAAGACAAACTTTCAATTTTATACTAACATCTAGAAAACGACACTGACTCGAAATTGTAGGTTCATCTATTTTTTCTATTGTAGAATTTCTTGGTGTATCTATTATCAAACAAGGTATTATTGAAATAAAAGTGTTGCTGTATATATTTTTAGTAAAAGATAATCTTTAGGATATCCTACAGCTTTAAAGAACTCCTTTCAGCTTTGAGTATTCATTTAAAAACTTTCCAGCTGCAGAGGAGATGTATCAACAGTTGTAAAGATAAAAATCATTTAAAACAAATAAAAATATGACTCATTAATCTACTAATTGTAAGATATTAATAAAAATTGTAAAAAATTAAAATAATTACCAATACAATTTTGATCGCTCAACAAGAGCATAAGAATCTCCATCCCCGATAAAAATACCACAAAGACTACAACAAAAACACTCCGGGTGGAATTTATGTTCTCCAGCGACCATAACAGGTCCGGTTATGATCTAAAAATGATTTAAAAGAATTAAATTTTATGAATTAATATTTTTAATTAATAATACCTGGCTACAATGTTGGCAAGCTTCACCATATCGACTCCAATAATCATTCTTGCAAAATAATAACCCATCTTTCTCAAAATACCAACTGGATAAAGAAGCATCGCAAGCTGAGCACCTAATTTGGAAAGAAAAAAATTTTTTTTAGGTTATATTAAACGTCAAAATTATGTTAAATGTCAAAATTTAAATCATTTTTAATTAAATTAAGTGTATTTATTAAAAATAATGTAAAAGTAAGTCTTTTTATAAGGCGGAAACGCAATTATTGAGTTAATACAATTAAAATTATTATAAATAAAAAAAATTTTAAGGTTATGTTAAATGTCAAAATTTAAATTATTAATTAAATTAAGTGTTTTTATCAAAAATAATGTAAAAGTAAGTCTTTTTATAAGGCGGAAACGCAATTATTGAGTTAATGATAAAATAAAATTTATTTTAATAAATTAAAATTTTTTTTGAGGTTATGTTAAACGTCAAAATTTTTTTAATTTAACTTTTTTGATTAAATTAAGGTGTTTTTACCGAAAGCAATCAACGTGCCAGTCTTGTCCAAGGGCGGAAACGCACTCCTCATCATCGAGAACATTGAGACATCCCGAACAAATATGTTCGGAGCATTCAACATCATCAACTAAAAAACATAACCAAAAAAAATTAAAAAAATTAATTTTTACCCCACACAAATGAATATAACAATTTGATTCCATAACAATTTTAAAGTGTCTTCGCAAAATTAACGAATTAAAAGCCAGGTTTATATCAATATAAGTTGCACCCACACATTTCTTGTTTCATCTGGGGGGTACAAAAAAACGCAGTTTCCGGGCTAATTTACTATATAAATCGTAATCGATCGTTTTTGGTTTTGTTAACGTACCGTTTTCGAGCTGTTGTAACATTTTAACGCGACTTTTTTAACATAATATTTAACAAAATAAATGGGAAACATACAAGACACAAGAAACACATTAAAGACTCGATCACAATGGGGAAAATAAACGTCAAAGTCAAATTTACAATAACACAAAAACTTTCTTTAAACACTTAATTCACATCGTTTTATTGTTTATTAGTTTACGTAAACGTTAAAAACGATGGGTTTTGTTGGTTAATTAACAAGTTGTGGGAAAATTAATTAAAATTTATTGTAATATTTTAATTGGGATTTTAAATAGTTGATTCATAGGTGGCGCTAAATGAAACGTCAAAATTTGAATTTGAAAAATTTTATATTATTAATTATTACATAATTATAAATATAATTGAATATAACTGTGGATATATAAATGTCCACAATATAATAAGATAATTTTAATAATATTAATAATATTTTAATAAATGATAAAATGAACCGTACACATTAAATGAATGATTATAATTTGAAGGACTAATCATGTGAACGAACGATTGATTATTATTTGAATGATAATAATTTTATAAATAATAATAATTTTATATGGAAACGTGGTTTTGTTTGTACATGTCGTGTGCACAGCATGCTACAGCCACTTCCCCTCCTATAAAGATTAATAAAAAGAGGAATATGGTGATTAAAGAAAAAAAAATTCATATTTAAAAATTGAAAGTAACTTTTTTTTGAATTTTTATATTATGAGAATTGATTGCCTCGCTGTGGTGACATGTTGAATTTTCTTTTAAAAGAAATGCTGGTTTAAGGTTGTTGATGTTAACAGCTACTTCCTTGTTATTTTTGAAAATTACAAAATATTTCGGAAATGTTTTTATCACTTTAAATGGGCCTTCATATCTTGGTGTTAAAGAGGGTTGAATCCCATTAATTTTGACAAAAACAAATTTTGAAATGAATAAATCTTTATGAATAAATGGTTTTTGGTTGGAATGAAAAACTGTGTTTACTGGTTTCAAACAAGAGAATGTTTCTCGTAAACTAGATAGCAATGGATCAGATTCCAAAGGGTGTTGAATATTAACAAAAAATTCTCCTGGAAGCCTAAGTGGTTGACCGTATACAAGTTCAGCAGATGAACAACCTAGGTCTTCCTTAAGAGATGATCTGAGGCCTAGGAGAACCAAGGGAAGATCATTGTTCCACCTCGTAGTGTTACCTCTGGCAGTTATGGCTGTTTTTAAAGAACGGTGAAACCTTTCTAAAATTCCGTTGCTTTGGGGATGGAAGGTGGATGTATGAATTTGACGTGTTCCTAGAAGGGTGTGAAATTTTGAAAAGAGTTTTGATTCGAATTGTCGTCCCTGATCATGGGTTATAGTGCTAGGAATGCCAAATCGGCTGAAATAATGCCGAAACAAAGTATCCGCAATAGAAGAAGAACCAATATCTTTGAGAGGAAAAGCTTCTGGCCAACGCGTGAAACGATCTATTACGGTGAGCACATATGTGCAGCCAAGGGACGGAGTGAGAGGACCGACCAAATCAATGTGGATATGATCGAATCTTAATTTTGGTATCGGAATTTTACTAATAGGTGATTTTGTGTACTTTTGAACTTTTGTTTGTTGACATCGCAAACAGGTTTTTGTCCATAACTGAATGTGTGAGGCCAAAAGAATCGTGTTTTGATGATGTGTGTGTAAGGCGAATACCAGGATGTGTTAAGTTGTGAAATTTGTTGAAAATTGTTTTACGAAATTTTTGTGGTATGTATGTTCGAGGATTGTTTGTTGAAATGTCGCACCAAAGCTTTACATCTGAATGTGATGTTGTTTGTTGCTATAGGTTATATTTAGTAGTTTGTGTCTTTGAGTATTGTTTGTTTAGTAAATGCTTAAAAAGGTTTGTGTGTCAGGATAGTGTGAATTTAGAAAATCAATATTTGTTCTGGCTACAATGTTTGATTCTCCTGTAATGTACCTGATATCTGATGTTAATTGTGTGATGTAACTAAGATATCGTGTCTGACGTGGAGTTTTTTGTGTTGATTAGAGGTTTGTGGTCAGTGTAAACCACAAATTGATGTCTATGTAAAAAATTAATATTCATTTTTTGTTTTTCTTTTCACCTGGGTAATTCAATTAAACAAATTTTGCACTTAAAGGTGAAATGTGTTTATTATCACTCTACCGGTTTCGCTCTTTTCGGAGCATCTTCAGGAGTTCGTCAATTTTTTGAGCAACTAAACATGTATGTGATAATTTACTGAATCAATTTACTATTAAAATGTTAGACTCTAAACATGTGTTATCGTAAATCACTTTTTATTATATTTTAGGTTATGTTGAAACTGTCAATGGTATATTTTCCTTTTTGATGTTGGCAACTTGTCAAATGTGATTGTCGTGTATTGAATTTAAACTTTCTTGAATCGGTTGTTATTCAACAGGTTAAAATGAGGTGTCACAACATAAACATATTAATTCCCTACACTAAACACACTGAAAATATAATGGTACAGAGAGAGCAGCTGTTTTTAGAGATCGGGAGGTTTTCGTGGAGGTGTATATGGTTGTTTGAGATAGGTATATAGTGGTCTTCTTGTAGGTATAATTTGTTCGTTTAGGCATGTTACATCTGGGTAGTTGTTGAGGAATTTATTAATTTCATAGTTTTCCATTATTTCTAAATAGTAACTTTTATTGATATGATGAAGGATTCTGGAATTTTTATCCTCGTTAAATTCATGTTTTGAGTTAAATGTTAGGTGATTTCCGAAGTTGGAGTTATTTTTGTTTTTATGTTCTCTTATTCTTTTTCTAAGGCTTCTGCCTGTTTCTCCAATGTACGCTGCTTTACAAGTGTCGCACTCTAGTATGTACACGCCATTGTCGTCTAGTTTATTTGTTTTGTCTTTATTGTTTATAAGTATTCTTTCTAATGTTTTATTTGGTTTGAAATTAAGATTTATATTATATTGTTTTAAGCTCTGTTTTATTTTATTGGATATGTTGCCTTGGAATGTTATAGCTCTATAATAGATATTTTGATCTTCATTGTGTTGATTCCTTAGAGTGGTACAATTAATCATTTTTTGTTTTTTCTGTTGTTTGTTTATAATATTATTTATTGTGTAAGTTGGGAAGTTATTATTTTTCGCAACTTGGTAGATTGTATTTATTTCGGTGGTAAGGTTTCNTTTGAATTTGGAAAAATTTTGTTTTTCTTTTGAAACCTTTATTAGTTTTTTGATGTCGATGGAAAATTTTTGTTTTTGTCGGTGAAGGAATTATAAAATTTGCAATATGTTCCTCCACATTTAACCGCGTTGTCTCCAAATTTACAGTGATACCAACAAATAGTCGAATAACTCGTAGAAATAGATCTATTGCGCGAGTGACGTGACGAAGAACGATGTCTATCTCGAGAATTGTGAAAACAATTATAATTGCAATTCTTCGACGTATTTCGGTGTGTTTTGAAATTGGGTAGTCAAAGAATTTATTTGATTTTCTAAATTTTTTGTCCTGTTGTTGTTGTTGTGGTGGTGTTTTTGTGGTGCGATGTTTTTGAACTTCCGAGAGGTGTGTTGAGGTCGACGTCAAATTCATTGATTCCCACACCTTGTCGGCAATGGAAAGAATGTCCACAACGTCCTCTTTGCCAGAAGCGAGGAGTACAACCGAAACAACACAAGGTAGTCTCCTTTGCCACAATTTTAATAATAAATTTGGACTAACCACCTGAGAACCACCAACCGTGGTCAACATCGCTAGATAAAAATCTGACGGTTTTTGATCTCCCATTTGCGAACCTAATAGAACATCGTTACGTTTTTCTTCACTCAATGATAACCTGTCGATTAACAATTTTTTGAGTGAAGAATATGGATTCGTGTTTGGAGGGTTCTGTATGAGGTCTACCACGGTGGAGATGATCTCAGTGGGTAAATTTGCCAAAAGAACGTTAAATTTTGTTTTTTCACTGCTAATTCTAGTTAAAGTAAACTGTGCTTCAACTTGCCGAAACCAAATGTCGGGATTAGAAGGCCAAAATGGTGGTAATTTCAATTTTGCAATTTTCAAAAATAACAAGGAAGTAGCTGTTAACATCAACAACCTTAAACCAGCATTTCTTGTAAAAGAAAATTCAACATGTCACCACAGCGAGGTAATCAATTCTCATAATAGAAAAATTCAAAAAAAAGTTACTTTCAATTTTAAATATGAAAAAATTCATATTTAAAAATAAACATAAATATTGACAATAACATTAAATATTGTTGATTATAAAAATGTTAAGCAAAAATTTAAAAACTAGAAAGCCAATTTTTAAATTAACTTAAAATTGACAAAAATTTAAGATTTTTTAAATTATCGCCTTGACCGGATTATTAAGAGTTAGGAAACGATTTATATCTTAAATTAAACCTGAAATCTTCCTCTTTAAGATGGTGTGTGATATTAAATATCATTGATTATAAAAATGTTGAGTAAAACATAAAAAACTAAAAGGCCAATTTTTAAATTAACTTAAAATTTAAGATTATTTAAATCATCGCCTTGACCGGATTTTTAGGAGTTAGGAAACGATTTATATCTCAAATTAAAGCTGAAATCTTCCTCTTTAAGATGGTCTGTGATATTAAATATCATTGATCATACAAATGTTGAGTAAAAAATTAAAAACTAAAATGCCAATTTTTAACTTAATTTAAAATTAATAAAAATCTAAGATTTTTTAAATCATCGCCTTAACCGGATTATTAAGAGTTAAGAAACGATTTATATCTTAAATTAAAGCTGAAATCTTCCTCTTTAAGATGGTGTGTGATATTAAATATCATTGATTATACAAATGTTGAGTAAAACATTAAAAACTAAAATGCCAATTTTTAACTTAACGTGATATTGAGAGTAATTTAAGTTTTTTTAAATCAACGCCTTGACCGGATTTTTAGGAATTAGGAAACGATTTATATCTTAAATTAAAGCTGAAATCTCCCTCTTTAAGACGGTGTGTAATATTAAATATCATTGATTATAAAAATTTTGAGTAAATAATTAAAAACTAAAATGTTAATTTTTAACATAATCTAAAATTAATAAAAATCTAAAATTTTTTAAATCATCGCCTTGACCGGATTATTAAGAGTTAGGAAACGATTTATATCTCAAAATAAAGCTGAAATCTTCCTGGTGTGTAATATGAAATATCATTGATTATAAAAATGTTGAGTAAAACATTAAAAACTAAAATGCCCATTTTTAACTTAACTTAAAATTTTAGATTTTTTAAATCATCGCCTTGACCGGATTTTTAGGAGTTAGGAAATGATTTATATCTTAAATTAAAGCTGAAATCTTCCTCTTTAAGATGGTGTGTAATATGAAATATCATTGATTATAAAAATGTTGAGTAAAACATTAAAAACTAAAATGCCAATTTTTAACATAACCTGAAATTAATAAAAATGTTAGATATTTTAAATCATCGCCTTGACCGGATTTTGAGGAGTTAGGAAACGATTTATATCTTAAATTAAAGCTGAAATCTTCCTCTTTAAGATGGTGTGTAATATGAAATATCATTGATTATAAAAATGTTGAGTAAAACATTAAAAACTAAAATGCCAATTTTTAACATAACCTGAAATTAATAAAAATGTTAGATATTTTAAATCATCGCCTTGACCGGATTTTGAGGAGTTAGGAAACGATTTATATCTTAAATTAAAGCTGAAATCTTCCTCTTTAAGATAGTGTGTGATATTAAATATCATTGATTATACAAATGTTGAATAAAAAATTAAAAACTAAAATGCCAATTTTTAACTTAATCTAAAATTAATAAAAATTTAAGATTTTTTAAATCATCGCCTTAACTGAATTATTAAGAGTTAGGAAACGATTTATATCTCAAAATAAAGCTGACATCTTCCTCTTTAAGATGCTGTGTAATATTAAATATCATTGATTATTAAAATGTTGAGTAAAAAATTAAAAACTAAAATGCCAATTTTTCACTTAACCTGATATTGAGAGAAATTTAAGTTTTTTTAAATCAACGCCTTGACCGGATTTTTAGGAATTAGGAAACGATTTATATCTTAAATTATAGCTGAAACCTCCCTCTTTAAGATGGTGTGTAATATTAAATATAATTGATTATAAAAATATTAAGTAAAAACTTATTTTACATCGTTTATTAAAGTTAGTAATTAATAAGTTATATAACAAAATTTGTATTTGAACAATTAATTTTAACATCCGTTTACTCTTAAAGTTGTTGAATCGGTTTCCCAAAGTTCTTTTCCGTTTTTACCGTAAGCTAGAATTGATAATTCAGCTTTGCAAGTTAATGGCTCATTTAATTTAACAGTTCCCCCTAAATCATCATTATTTATATCTGTGTAAGTAATCGTTTCATCAATAACACATTTTATTTTGAAATTATTTGCGGTACAATCCGATGTTGGGGGAGTCGTTATTGAAACAATTATGTTCATATTATCGCTATCATAACGTGTATGCATAATACCTAAAATGTTAATAAAAAGTTAATTAAAAATTCATTTAAAACATTGTCTTTTTTACCTATACATTTTTCACCTTTAAGTTGAGAACCCCCAAAAAAAAATAAATTAGATATTTAATTAAACTTAAATAAATATATTCTTACATGGTGGAATATTTGCTATATCGGATTCCCCGATTTGCACACCATCCTCATCGAAAGCTACAACGGAAGCTTTAATAATAGCATCGCAAGAAATCGTTTCGGGTATTGGGAAGCCTCCCAACAGAGGATAATTTCCACTATCATCGTAATTTACTTCACCATCAATGGAATATTTAATTTTTCTGCTTGCGTAAGTACAATTTGGGCCGGTTAAGAAAATACCAGGGTTGTATTTATTGCGCATTATAACTAATAGCATTGTGGCTAAAATCAAAGTGTTAAGTTTAATTTAATTAAAAGTTAATTAAGTACTTACGGTTGCAATCTTGATTTTCACTTATTGTTGGAAGTTGTGGGTTGGCCAAAATGATGGAAAAGCTGCACATAACGATTAAAATTGTTAGCTTCATTTTGATTGTTTGTTAAATGATTGGGTGTTGAGTTGATTTTGGGGTTTTTATATGATTTTTTTTGGGTGTGTCCATAAAATATTTTATCTTAATAACAATAACAGATTGTTGTGCATTGATCATAAGTACTAAATTATCGATTATTTGTTGAGATAGCTTTGTAAGTTATTAATTACAAGTATTTGTTTGTGATTAACTAATCTAAAGAAAATCTGAATTAAGTATAAATATTTGGTTAACGTCATCTCCTTTAAGATGACAAGATTAAAGGCCTCTACAGACGCGTTAATGTATGCACATTCAAAAACGTACACACAAAAACGTTAATGTGTATGCAGAAGAACGTCACCTGTTTGAGTGCACACTCAAAAAGAACGACGCACAAAACTTCTGCCGGCTGTCGGGATTCGCTCTCAAGTCTCAACGTGTAGATGTAAATTATGCGACGTTCATCAGTAGCGTTCAGTGCCCAGGTAAGTTCCGTGTTTATGAAATTTGATTCGCAAATTTATTGTTTTGTAGAATGTCTGATTGTAGAACACTCTCTCGTGACTTCCTGCGTGAATTCATTGAAATGTACAGGGAACTGCCCTGTCTATGGCATATAAAAACCAAAGCATATTTGAATAAAAAAAAAAGCGACGCCTACAAAATGCTGATCAAGAAGCTGCAGATTGTTCAGCCAAACGCGACCAAAGCTTCAGTTATTACTAAAATAAATAGTCTTAGAGGAGGTTTTCGTAGGGAAAATAAGAAGGTTGCCACGATACAGCTCCTTCTTCATTAAAATACTGCATAAATAATTGTCGCACTTGCTCTGCTTCACTGCCAAAGTTCCCACCATGGCTACGTTGCAGGTGAGCAAGGTGACTTGGATTAGCTCTCAGACCTGATTGCAAACTTACTTTTTCGAAATCAGAATCAGGTGGTGTATATATGTTAGGGCAGCTTCGTTTTAAAAAATTATGAAGTACACAGCAAGCCAGTACCACTTTGTCTATTGATTCTAAGCGTAACCGGATAGGAGTGTAAAAGATTTGAAATCGTGCTGCTAATATGCCAAATGTATTTTCAATTTTACCTCGTGCCCGTGCCAATCGGTAATTAAAAATTTTTTTGTCATGATTAAGATCTTTCTGCCCATAGGGCTTTAGGAAATCAGAACGTCTGTACGCTGACCTAGCATACGTTTTTGTATGCACGTTTTTGGATGTGCAAACATCAACGCGGGCATAAACGTCCGTCTGTAAGGGCCCTAGTAGTTACAGGAATTTAACATTTAAAGTTTTTCTAACTAGGATTAAGGATGTTTTATTGCGTAAAGCATGTTACTCTATTGAAGAATTGTCGAATGATATACAGGCCTTTGAATGTGTTTAGTATACGAACAGATTAACTTTCTTTCCCTGTCACTACTGTTCTGACATGGATTGTTATGACTGTGTATTTGCTTTTATGTAAATGTTACGTGTAATATTTTATATATTATATTTTATTATATTTTTCGCCTTGCTTGTAAATTTTATATTGACGAATGTATGCCTTCGGATTATTAGCATAATAAAGATTATTATTAACATTTTTATAATCGATGATAATTCATATTACACACCATCTTAAAGAGGAAGATTTCAGCTTTAATTTAAGATATAAATCGTTTCCTAACTCTTAATAATCCGGTCAAGGCGATGATTTAAAATATCTAACATTTTTATTAATTTCAGGTTAAGTTAAAAATTGGCATTTTAGTTTTTAATGTTTTACTCAACATTTTTATACTCAATGATACTTCATATTACACACCATCTTAAAGAGGAAGATTTCAGCTTTTATTTAAGATATAAATCGTTTCCTAACTCTTAATAATCCGGTCAAGACCATGATTTGAAAAATCTTCAATTTATATTAATTTTAGGTTAATTTAAAAATTGGAATTTTAGTTTTTAATTTTTTACTCAACATTTTTATAATCAATGACATTTAATATTACACACCATCTTATAGAGGAAGATTTCAGCTTTAATTTAAGATATAAATCGTTTCGTAACTCTTAATAATCCGGTCAAGGTGATAATTTAAAAAATCTTCAATTTTTATTAATTTTATGTCAAGTTAAAAATTAGCATTTTAGTTTTTAATTTTTTACTCAACATTTTTATAATCAATGATATTTAATATTACACACCATCTTAAAGAGGAAGATTTCAGCTATTATTTAAGATATAAATCGTTTCCTAACTCTTAACAATCCGGTCAAGGCGATGATTTAAAATATCTAACATTTTTATTAATTTCAGGTTAAGTTAAAAATTGGCATTTTAGTTTTTAATTATTTACTCAACATTTTTATAATCAATGATATTTAATATTACACACCATCTTAAAGAGCAAGATTTCAGCTTTTATTTAAGATATAAATCGTTTCCTAACTCTTAATAATCCGCTCAAGGCGATGATTTAAAAAATCTTAAATTTTTATTAATTTGAAGCTAAGTTAAAATTTGGCATTTTAGGTTTTAATTTTTTACTCATCATTTTTATAATCAATGATATTTAATATTACACACCATCTTAAAGAGGAAAATTTCAGCTTTAATTTAAGATATAAATCGTTTCCTAACTCTTAATAATCCGTTCAAAGCGATAATTTAAATAATCTAAAATTTTTATTAATTTTAGGTTAAGTGTAGAGAGTGATTAATAAAATAATAAATGATTATCTTAAAATGATTCAAAAGAAAAATGTGTCTTTAATCTCGATTTACTGATAAAAAATCAAAGTTCAAGTTCAAGTGTTCAATAATCTCTGATTGATGCACAACATGTTAAGATTAAAGAATTATTTTTATACTTTATCAATTCATAACGAAAAAGACACACCCAAAAAAATCCTATAAATGCCTCAACAAAAAAATTAATTCTTAATGAATTCATGAACAATCCAAAATGAAGGTGACAATTTTTTTAATGATTCTGGGCTCCTTTTCGAGCGTTTTGGCGATTCCTCAATTTTTCAATAAAAGCGAAGACTGTAACCGTAAGCAATATCGACGGGATATAATCGTTTATAAAATACATTTTTGACATAAATAAAGAACATTTTTTATATTAATCATTTTGTCCCATCTCTTTTCATTCTTGAGACATCTCCAATTTTTATGTCAAAAACTCAATTTTACAAGTATTCATTTTGCAACTAATCTAGGTTGGTATAACTGATCGATGGGATATAATCGTTTATAAAACATGTTTTTGAGATCAATAAAGAACATTTTTTATCTGAATCACTTTGTCCCATCTCTTTTCGTTCTTAAGACAACTCCAATTTTTATGTCAAAAAAATACAATTTTTCAAATATTTATTTTTCTACTAATTTAGGTTGGTATAACTAATCTATGGGATATAATCGATTATGAAATACATTTTGACATTAATAAACAACATTTTTTATATTAATCACTTTGTCCCATCTCCTTTCATTCTTAAGACAACTCCAATTTTTATGTCAAAAAAGGCAATTTTTCAACTAATTTAGGTTGGTATAACTGATCGATGGGATATAATCGATTATGAAATACATTTTTGACATTAATAAAGAACATTTCTTATATTAATCACTTTGTCCCATCTCTTTTCATTCTTGAGACATTTCCAATTTTTATGTCAAAAACTCAATTTTACAAAGATTCATTTTTCACCTAATTTAGGTTGGTATAACTGATCTATGGGATAATCGATTATGAAATACATTTTTGACATTAATAAATAACATTTTTTACATTAATCACTTTGTCCCATCTCTTTTCATTCTTGAGACATCTCCAATTTTTATGTTAAAAACTCAATTTTACAAGTATTCATTTTGCAACTAATCTAGGTTGGTATAACTGATCGATAGGATATAATCGCTTATTAAATATGTTTTAGAAATAAGTAAAGAACATTTTTGAACACAATTTGTAGAATCTGTATATATTTACACAAAATAACTGGTAAGGAGATGAAAAAGAGTGATTCACCACTTCAATGTAAAAGATTACTAAAAAATCCCCAAATTGTATTAATGATAAGCGATAAAACCGTTATCTAAAAAGGAAATAACTCAATAAAAATAATTATATTTGGCAGTGATTTTCAGAGATTTGATCCAATACTTGTAAATAATGATTGATATCAAAATTTAGGGCACATGATGTTTGTAAACAGTTTTAGATAATCAATATGTTAATTATTTTAAAGAACCTCGGCGGTTTAAAGGTAAATCTCGCTATAAGAGACTTTGTATTCTTAGAATTAGGGAAATGGGATATCTGGAATGGAATTGATATATCCTACTACCTAGAAAGAGAAGATATAGCCAAGGTCCGTCGAGTATTAGTTATAAGGTTATCCAACTCCAACAAACTGACGTTGACTAATGTATAATAATAATATTTGTATTAATAATTATTTAAACACTAAACAAGTGTTATTAAACTCAAGAAATAAAGATTTAAAACTATAGCTAACACTAGATATAGAACTAGAATCAATCGGGTTTAGCAGTCTTTAGAGAGGTACGGCTAAACCCGAATGTTTCTAGTTCTAGGTCTAGTGTTAGTTCTAGTTTTGCTCTAGCACTATCATTAGAACTAACACATGACCTAAAACTAGAATCATTCGGGTTTAGCAGTCTTGAAAGACGTGCGGCTAAACCCGAATGATTCTAGTTCTAGGTCTAATGTTAGTTCTATTTCAGTAAAAATAGACAACAATTTAACGCTTAGTAACAATTAACACTAGACCTAGAACTAGAAAAATTCTAGAACCTTTCTAGTTCTAGGTCTAGTGTTAGTTCTAGTTTTAGTGCAATAAAAATATACAACATAGTGATATCTAACAACATCATGTTCGGACTCATTTTAATGTTTTTTTTAATAAAGAATACATCATGAAAAAACACCATGAAGTTGTTCATTTGTCTATTATATGATAACTAACTTCAGATTTAAAATGTCAACCTCAATTTTGACATATTTGTAATCTTCATTAAAAATCCTTTAAAATAAGTACAAACACGATATATTTATCTTCAATATTAATGAAGTTATGGTCATCTTTCGGTAACAAACGTCAATTTTGACATATTTGTAATTGTCGTCAAAAATCTTTTAAACTGAGCCCAAACATGATACGTTTAATTCCAATATTAATCGAGATATAAGCAACTTCCGGTTTGAAATGTCAATGTCATTTTGACATATTCATAATTTTTATAAAATGTCTTAATATTTGTCACAAAAACATAATAAAAAAATAAAAAATTAAGGTTGGTATTAATATTTAAAAATTAAATTACTATCTGCATTGTTGCTAATTTCGGGTTTAATGTTTTTTATTCTAACTTTTTTGATTTTTGAGATAAGTGCGTCATGTTTGGATTCATTTTAAAGGTTTTTTAATGAAGATGACAAATATGTCAAAATTGACGTTGACGTTTCAAACCGGAAGTGATTGTATTTCCATTAATATTAAAGTTAGATATGTCGAGTTTGGACTCATTTTAAAGGATTTTTTATGAACTTGACAAATATGTCAAAATTAAAACTTGGAAGTTCGAACTTTTTGGTTTTTTGAGATAAATGCGTCAAGTTTGGACTCACTTTAAAGGTTATTTTATGAAAATTACGAATATAATAATAAAATTAAAGTTGATACTGACAACTGAAAGTTTTTTTAACGACTTGTCTAAGACGCCCGGCTAAACCTAAAACTTTCTAGTTCTATATAGGTCTAGTGTTAATTCTAGTTCTAATTGTTATTTAATCCTAACTTCTTGTACATTTTAATTGATCTAAAAATTATTTTTTTTTATTTAGTCCACTTACCTTACTTATAATTTCATCCATTTCCCCATTTTGAATCAAGTACAACCTTTAAATCCAATTAATTATGTGTTTTTCATTAAAAAAAACTTAAATTCAACGTCAATTTTGACAAGCAACTGCAATATTTGGATTTTAATCACCATGGTAACCGAGTCAAGTTGGATAACCTTAAAATAATAAAATTTTATTCCGATTTTTTTATCAATTCTAACCTAATTAAAAATATCTTTTTTTTGATTTAATCCACTTACCTTGTTTATAACATACCCTAGATAAACCAATTTTGAATTAAACACAGCCTTTTAAACCAATTAAATAAGACTTTTTCCTTAAATAAACTTAAATTCAATTTCAATTTTGACAAGCAACTGCAATATTTGGATCTTAATCACCATGGTAACCGAGTCAAGTTGGATAACCTAACAATAATAAAATTATAACCCTTAATATTTCGCTTTATATTTTAATATTTTTTAATTTTATTTTATATTTTTGTATATTGCTTCTTAAGTGAAATACACTGTATAAATAAAAACATAGAACCTTGGATATAGCTAGTATTCGGCACAATTAACAAAAATTTAACATTAATATTGAAACCATTTCTTTGGGAGCCTCATAAAAATAATCTTGATTTATAAATGATTTGTAATAATAAACACAATAATAAACAAGATAAACAATAAAAGAGGTTATGTTAGATGACGTTTAGTGACAGTGACAATCAGAAATGCCAACCGAAAAATATAAAATTAAAATAATTTAACCTCAAAAATCAATTTTTTTATTACAATTAAAATTTTTATTACATCCAGTATTATTAAGAAATAAAAACGTTTAAAAATATGTCACCTAAATTAAAATGGAAATATTCTTTCGAGGAAAGTTTCGAAGATGTTGATCTATTTAACTCCGATTTGCAAGATTCCAATGAGTATAAAATTAAACTTCTTGAAGAAACTCGCCATCACGTCCAAAATCGAATTGAAGCAACCATGAGACGTACCATTGACTTAATAAGGGAGTCCAATGAGATGGGAATAAATACTTTGGAAGAAATAGCAAGAGAACAAGAACAATTAGCACAAATTGATAAACGTTTGGAGGAAATAAAACCAACTGCAGCAACCCATCGAGCCCCTATTAAGATGATTAAATCGGTTTTTAGTGGTTTAAAGAATTTTATTTGGGGAAAAAGTGATCATCTTGAAAAATATGATTTGGAAGAGTCTCATAATTGTAGTTTGCAAGAAACTTTAAAGGACTATGATTGTTTTGAGGATTATTATGAATTATCACAAAGTGAAGTTAAAGATTTACCTCTTAATCAAATAATGAATAAAAATTTTTGTAAATCTACGCTTGATGCCCAATTTGAAGAGGTTAATTTTTTGTTATTGAGGTTAAATGAAATTGCTTTAGAAATAACGAATATTAAGTTTTAACTGTTTGTTTTAGATTAGATTTAATTAATTAATTATTATTAACAATTAATAATAATTATTTTAATTAACTCAATAGATGTCGCTGTGAATCAAATTTTTTTTTAATATTTATTCATAAAATCATCAAATAATAATTGATTCGATGATTTTGTTGATTATAAATCGATTTAATAAATTAATTTAATAAATATTTGTTATAAAATTAATTATATTTTAACCAAAATTATTCCTCTCAAAAGATGTCGCCACAAACTTTTGACGTTTCTAATAACCTCAAAATCTAATTCATTGTTAATCTTTGTTCCTTGTTATAATTACGGTTTAAAAGCGATTTAAAACAAATTAAATTAGAAAAATGTCTCGTTACAATTCAAAATCAACAAATCCTTTCGAAGAAGACGACGAAATCGACGACGAAACCTTCCTAAAAAATTCTCGACACCCCCAAGGTTCATTCGACGACGAATTGAAGAAACTCCAAGAGAATCGTCGCGATATAGAGAATCGAACTATAACAAGCACCGAACGTAGTATAGGGATATTAAGGGATTCCGAGCAGATTGGGATTGCAACAGCAGAAGAATTAGCAAGACAACGGGAGCAATTAGAACGTACCGATAAGCGTTTAGATGAAATCAATGCGACTTTGAGGTTTTCCCAAAAACATATAAACGGGATCAAATCCGTTTTTAGTAGTTTAAAGAATTTTATGTCAGGAAAAAGTGAATCCTCCCCAAATCTACAACGAGGTGAATCCAAGGATGTAGATTCACCGTTGAAGGAGACTTTGGGGAATTATGATCGATATGAGAATCACCCAAGTACAAGGCTTCATCAAACGGAAGGTGGGGGTCAAACTCAAGCATCGGGGAGTAAAAATATTAGCGCTAAGTTGGATGCAAACTTACAAGAAATGTCCACTTCTTTATCAAGATTAAAAGGATTGGCGACTAATTTATCCTTTGAAATTGATAATCAAAATGAGTTGATTGATACAATTGCAACGAAAACTGATAAAGCTGATGTTACGATTCAAATGCAAAATAAGGATATGAATAGAATATTGAAGAAGTAAATGTTTAATTATTACAGTAATAATTCCATTTTGAAACACTCAAAGATAAAAGTAATTTTTTTTTAATATTTTTTTAGTATTGCTTTATAAAAAATGAAATAAATATTGATTGTATAAATGTAATTTTGTGAGAATCTATATTTAAGTGTAATATAAATATAAATGTGCTTAAGAAGGTGTAATAAAGGTATCTATTACTTGTTATTTATTGATTACTTCCAATTTTTAAATGATATCTCTAAAAAGAGGGAACTTTTAGCTTTAAGCTAAGATATAAACCACTTATTTATAACAAAAAATAAGTTCAAAATGATTTGTTTAAGTTAATTTCATAATTTATTAGAAACGTCAAAATTTAAGATACGATGATATCTCCAAGAATGTTATATAAAACTAAATGAGGGATACACCATCTTAAAGAGAAAGATTTTATCTTTATGCTAAGAAGTAAGTCTAGAACGATTTTTTAAAATTTGCGGTAATTTAGATGAATTTATTAGAAACGTCAAAATTTAAGCTTGCAATTTTTAATGATATCTCCAAGAATGTTATATAAAACCAAATGAGGTATAGTACATCATCTTAAAGAGGAAGATTTTGTCTTTAATCTGAGACATAAATCACTTCTTTACACCAAGAAATAAGTTTGGAATGATTTTTTAAGTTTACCTTAATTTAGATGAATTTATTAGAAACGTCAAAATTTAAGCTTCCAATTTTTAATGATATCTCCAAGAATGTTATATAAAACCAAATAAGGGATACATCATCTTAAAGAGGAAGATTTTATATTTAATCTGAGACATAAATCACTTCTTTATACCAAGAAATAAGTTTAGAATGATTTTTTTAAGTTTACGTTAATTTACATAAATTTATTAGAAACGTCAAAATTTCAGCTTGCAATTTTTAATGATATCTCGAAGAATGGTATATAAAACCAAATGAGGGATACATCATCTTAAAGAGAAAGATTTTATCTTGAATCTGAGGCATAAATCACTTCTTTATACCAAGAAATAAGTTTAGAATGATTTTTTTAAGTTTGCGATAATTTACATAAATTTATTAGAAACGTCAAATTTTAAACTTCCAATTTTTAATGATATCTCCAAGAATGTTGTATAAAACCAATTGAGGGATACATCATCTTAAAGAGGAAGATTTTTTTCTTCAATCTGAGGCATAAATCACTTCTTTACACCGAGAAATAAGTTTAGAATGATTTTTTTAAGTCTACGTCAATTTTCACAAATTTATTAGAAACGTCAAAATTTCAGCTTGCAATTTTTAATGATATCTCCAAGAATGTTATATAAAACCAAATGAGGGATAGATCATCTTAACGAGGAAGATTTTATGTTTAATCTGAGGCATAAATCACATCTTTATATTAAGAAATAAGTTAAGAATAATTTTTTTAAGTTTACGTCTATTTTCCGAAATTAATTAGAAACGTCAAAATTTAAGCTTCCAATTTTTAATGATATCTCCAAGAATGTTATATGAAACCAAATGAGGGATACATCATCTTAAAAAGGAAGATTTTATGTTTAATTTGAGGCATAAATCACTTCTTTACACCAAGAAATAAGTTTAGAATGATTTTTTTAAATTTACGTCAATTTTCACAAATTTATTAGAAACGTCAAAATTTCAGCTTGCAATTTTTAATGATATCTCCAAGAATGTTATATAAAACCAAATGAGGGATATATCATCTTAAAGAGGAAGATTTTATCTTTAATTTGAGACATAAATCACTTCTTGATACTAAGAAATAAGTTTAGAATGATTTTTTTATGTTTGCGGTAATTTATATAAATTTATTAGAAACGTCAAAATTTAAACTTCCAATTTTTAATGATATCTCCAAGAATATTATATAAAACCAAATGAGGGATACATCATTTTAAAGAGGAAGATTTTATCTTTAATCTGAGGCATAAATTACTTTTTTATACCAAGAAATAAGTATAAAATGATTTTTTTAAGTTTACTTAATTTAGATGAATTTATTAGAAACGTCAAAATTTAAGCTTCCAATTTTTAATGATATCTCCAAGAATGTTATATAAAAGCAAATGAGGGATACATCATCTTAAAGAAGAAGATTTTATCTTTAATTTGAGGCATAAATCACTTCTTTATACCAAGAAATAAGTTCAGAATGATTTTTTTAAGTTTACGTCAATTTTCACAAATTTATTAGAAACGTCAAAATTTAAGCTTCCAATTTTTTATGATATCTCCAAGAATGTTATATAAAACCAAATGAGGGATACATCATCTTAAAGAGGAAGATTTTATCTTGAATCTGAGGCATAAACTACTTTTTTATACCAAGAAATAAGTTTAGAATGATTTTTTTAAGTTTACCTTAATTTACATAAATTTATTAGAAACGTCAAAATTTAAGCTTCCAATTTTTAATGATATCTCCAAGAATGTTATATAAAACCAAATGAGGGATACATCATCTTAAAGAGGAAGATTTTATCTTTAATCTGAGACATAAACCACTTCTTTACACCAAGAAATAAGTTTAGAATGGTTTTTTTAAATTTATGTTAATTTACATAAATTTCTTAGAAACGTCAAAATTTAAGCTTCCAATTTTTAATGATATCTCCAAGAATGTTATATAAAACCAAATGAGGGATACATCATCTTAAAGAGGAAGATTTTATCTTTAATCTGAGACATAAATCACTTCTTTACACCAAGAAATAAGTTTAGAATGATTTTTTTAAGTTTACCTTAATTTACATAAATTTATTAGAAACGTCAAAATTTAAGCTTCCAATTTTTAATGATATCTCCAAGAATGTTATATAAAACCAAATGAGGGATACATCATCTTAAAGAGGAAGATTTTATCTTTAATCTGAGACATAAATCACTTCTTTACACCAAGAAATAAGTTTAGAATGATTTTTTTAATTTTTGTCAATTTTCACAAATTTATTAGAAACGTCAAAATTTCAGCTTGCAATTTTTAATGATATCTCCAAGAATGTTATATAAAACCAAATGAGGGATATATCATCTTAAAGAGGAAGATTTTATCTTTAATTTGAGACATAAATCACTTCTTGATACTAAGAAATAAGTTTAGAATGATTTTTTTATGTTTGCGGTAATTTATATAAATTTATTAGAAACGTCAAAATTTAAACTTCCAATTTTTAATGATATCTCCAAGAATGTTATATAAAACCAAATGAGGGATATATCATCTTAAAGAGGAAGATTTTATCTTTAATCTGAGACATAAATCACTTTTTTATACCAAGAAATAAATTTAGAATGATTTTTTAAATTTACGTTAATTTATATTTATAAATTTATTAGAAACGTCAAAATTTAAGCTTGCAATTTTTAATGATATCTCCAAGAATGTTATATAAAACCAATTGAGGGATACATCGTCTTAAAGATGAAGATTTTATCTTTAATCTGAGGCATAAATCACTTCTTTATACAAAGAAATAAGTTTAGAATGATTTTTTTTCAGTTTACGTTAATTTAGATAAATTTATTAGAAACGTCAAAATTTAAGCTTCCAATTTTTAATGATATCTCCAAGAATGTTATATAAAACCAAATAAGGGATACATCATCTTAAAGAGGAAGATTTTATCTTTAATATGAGACATAAACCACTTCTTTATATCAAGAAATAAGTTTAGAATGACTTTTTTAAATTTACCTTAATTTAGATGAATTTATTAGAAACGTCAAAATTTAAGCTTCCAATTTTTAATGATATCTCCAAGAATGTTATATGAAACCAAATGAGGGATACATCACCTTAAAGAGGAAGATTTTATCTTTAATCTGAAACATAAATCACTACTTTATACTAAGAAATAAGTTTAGAATGATTTTTTTAAGTTTACGTCAATTTTCACAAATTTATTAGAAACATCAAAATTTCAGCTTGCAATTTTTAATGATATCTCCAAGAATGTTATATAAAACCAAATGAGGGATACATCATCTTAAAGGGGAAGATTTTATCTTTAATCTGAGGCATAAATCACTTCTTTATACCAAGAAATAAGTTTAGAATGATTTTTTTAAGCCTACGTCAATTTTCACAAATTTATTAGAAACATCAAAATTTCAGCTTGCAATTTTTAATGATAAAATAGCCAAGAATGTTATATAAAGCCAAATGAGGGATATATCATCTTAAAGAGGAAGATTTTATCTTTAATCTGAGACATAAATCACTTCTTTACACCAAGAAATAAGATTAGAATGGTTTTTTTTAATTTACGTTAATTTACATAAATTTATTAGAAACGTCAAAATTTGAGCTTCCAATTTTTAATGATATCTCCAAGAATGTTATATAAAACCAAATGAGGGATACATCATCTTAAAGGTGAAGATTTTATCTTTAATCTGAGGCATAAATCACTTCTTTATACCAAGAAATAAGTTTAGAATGATTTTTTTAAGTTTGCGGTAATTTATATAAATTTATTAGAAACGTCAATTTTAAGCTTCCAATTTTTAATGATATCTCCAAGAATGTTATATAAAACCAAATGAGGGATACATCATCTTAAAGAGGAAGATTTTATCTTTAATCTGAGACATAAATCACTTCTTTACACCAAGAAATAAGTTTAGAATGATTTTTTAAATTTATGTCAATTTTCACAAATTTATTAGAAACGTCAAAATGTAAGCTTGAAATTTTTAATGATATCTCTAAGAATGTTATATAAAACCAAATGAGGTATAGTACATCATCTTAAAGAGGAAGATTTTATCTTTAATCTGAAACATAAATCACTTCTTTATATCAAGAAATAAGTTTAAAACGATTTTTTTAAGTTTACCTTAATTTAGATGAATTTATTAGAAATGTCAAAATTAAAGCTTCCAATTTTTAATGATATCTCCAAGAATGTTATATGAAACCAAATGAGGGATACATCACCTTAAAGAGGAAGATTTTATCTTTAATCTGAGACATAAATCACTTCTTTACACCAAGAAATTAGTTTAGAATGATTTTTTTAAGATTAGGCTAATTTATATAACTATTAGAAACGTCAAAATTTAAACTTCCAATTTTTAATGATATATCCAAGAATGTTATATAAAACCAAATAAGGGATACATCATCTTAAAGAGGAAGATTTTATCTTTAATCTGAGACATAAACCTATTCTTTATACCAAGAAATAAGTTTAAGTATAGGAAATTTTCAAAATTTCTAAAACCAAATGATTAAAAAAGCAATTAGGTGATGTTACTAAAACTCAAATTGTCCTTTACAAGATTAGGAATTTTATTAAATCCGCTTATAAATCACGGTTTGATTGCTTCAACAATCTTATTCCGACTCAGAACTATAAAAATCATCCCCATTCAAAGTAATTTCTAAATTTTCATAACACCCATTCGATTTTCGAACCAAATCGTTCCACAAAAACTTTTTATCACACCGAGGACACTCACCCTCAATCGGAACATACTCCCCTAATCTCAAAAAAAACCGCGACAAGCAAATTACATGACTAATTAAATCACAACTTTTTCTCAAACATCTTAAAGCTTTCCCTTCGATTTTTTTGTCACAAATAACGCACGAAATTAATTCATTCGAGTCATTTTCAGCTTGCTTTGCGACTTTTTTGCTGATAACTCCACCAATACAAATTGGCATATGTATTGGGGGGATTTTTAAACCCTAAAAATTTAGTTTAATGATTAAATTAATTAAAATTGAGATTAAATTACTGCTAAATCGCGAAATAACGTCTCATCCAACCATCGTATTGTTAGAGGTAATCGATTCCATGGCCCCACTGTTAACATTTCAGATAAAACCCTCAATCGATAATCATATTGTTTCTCATTCCTTTTTTGTTTTTGGATGTGATTTAGTCTTTGAGAAGATGTGGGGTGCTGCCAAGCCCATTCAAACTGTTTTTAATTAAATAAAATTAATGATTAAATCTTTTAAAATTAATAAAATTACCCGTAAAGCGGCGATATCATTAGGAAATCCGTGTATAATCATAACCATCGTCCAAGGTCCTTTTTTACTCGTTTTATAAGCCCCACCGTATTTTTTCCCTTTATTATGCTGTTTAATCCTTCGATTAGGATCTACGGTGTATCCGATGTACGTTTTACCTAAATATTTAGGGTTTTTACAATATAAAAGATAAACTCCATAAAAATCTTCAACAATCTCTTTGTTTTCATCCATTTAGGAATTCTCGCCTCTAAAAAGTGAGGTTATTTTTTTATAAATTTTGGATTTTAAGGTGAAAGTTAACTTTCTTCGGGTACCTAAAACAGATTTAAGGCGCGAAAATGAAATTTTATTATACTAAAAAGGAGTTGTTTTCTAATTATTGAGTTAAATTATTAATATAACCTCAAAAAAAAAATTTGACATAACCTCAAAAAAAATTTTTAATTTAAATAAATTAAATTTTACGAAGAATTTTAATCAATTTTTATTATTTTTTACACACAAATACTTAATTGTAATTAGAAATAAATAACTTTTCTTATTAACCTACTTTTAACTTGTACAGTTATCCGTTTATGCGAACTTATTCATTCAAGTCAGGGTAAAATACAGTTAAATTTAAGCCGGGATTTCAGTGGGGATCATTTAATGTTTAAAACTCGCACCGTAAACAACTAATTATTTATTAATTTAATAAAGTTAAGTTAAAAAAATGATTTGTAAACGAGTCGTTTTCATCCTGGTGATTTTCGTGATTCTAACCTCACTTTTTTCGTGCGAATCTCGCAAAATTAATAAAAAAAAGTTACGGTTAAGTAATATTTTGAAGAAAAGGGAAACTAATGCTATTAATTTTGTAAGGTAAGATAATAATAAATAAATTAATTAATAAATATAATAAACAAATTAAATTTTTTTTGTTTTGGGTTGGTAACAAATTTGAATTTCTAATTTATTTAAATAAATAAAATAACTCAATTTCTTTATAGATTAGTAGCAATGAGATTAATTTACGGTGTAGCAACTCGAATCGGATTAGGCGAACCCATTTCTGAGGCTTTAAACGGCGCTTTCGTTCCACCGGGGGTTGATTACTCCGATTACGAAGGACTCGATTTCGACCGAGATGATTACGATTATTAAAAACACCTTTCTTATTTATTCTTTTGTATATATCATTTATTTATTAAAATATAAAAATCATTTCAAAAAAAAACGTTTTTAATTTAATCCCAAACATAACGTCAATCTTTCGCCTCAAACAAACATAACCTCACTCTTAAACGTCAAAAATATTTTTAATTCTTATTTAATTTAAAAATATCAATAATTAAGTTATTTTTTATTATTAAACACTCCTTTCTTATTTATTCCTTTGTACATATCATTTATTTATTAAAATATAAAAATCATTTCAAAAAAACGTTTTTAATTTAATCCCAAACATAACCTCACTCTTTACGTCAAAAAAAAAAATTTAATTATTTTATTGTATTTAATTTAAAAATATCAATAATTAGGTTATTTTTTATTAATAAACACACCTTTCTTATTTATTCCTTTGTATATATCATTTATTTATTAAAATATAAAAATCATTTAAAAAAAAACGTTTTTAATTTAATTCCAAACATAACCTCAATCTTTCGTCCCAAACAAACATAACCTCACTCTTAAACGTAAAAAAAAAAATGTTAATTCTTATTTACTTTAAAAATATCAATAATTAGGTTATTTTTTGGTTTAAATGTCCGTTTGTTTGGGAATTTTGTACGTTTGATTCATTATTAGCACCGTTAGCGTTGGGAGTTTGTAATAATCGGCTTCTACGCCGCGTGTAATGCTGCCAAAGTAAGATTTGTTGGTCGTCGATGAATTTGGTGCATTGCGAGTTAACTAATTCTCTTCGGAAGTGCTCGTATTGTAATAAATCCAAAAAATATAAACACATTGGATACTTTAAGTATTTGGCGTAATCCGGTTCTTTCCAATACAATAAATATTTTAGGTAATTAACGAAGGTTGAGTCTTTGAAATAACCGCGTTGGGCTAAAACTACGCAAAGAAAAGATTTTTTTTAATGAAAATCGTTTTGTATTTTGAGGTTAGGTTAACTTACAATTTAAATAATTCGGGTTCCCTAAGCATTGTACGAATTCTAATTCGATTTGGAAGCGTAAACGTTGTTGGTCGTCGGTTTCGGGGACACCTGCAATGTAATTCCAGCCTAATTCAATGGAAAAATTGGAAAAAGTTCATGGATAAACACAGATTTACCTTTACCTGCCATTTTTTATACAAATGTCATTTATGCCAAACGAAAAATTCCCTAGATTTTTCGACCCGTTTCATTGTTATTAATTAATGAGTCATTTTAAAGTTATTTAAATGAAGCGTTCTCCGAACGAAGCGGTTTATTACTAAAAAGAAGATAATAAAAAGTGAATAATTTAAAATTAGTTGAATTAAATCTAGGGATTTTTATTTCCAAACAATCAAACATAACGTCTAAAAGGCGTGGCTGTCATCAATTTTATCACAACCCAAACAAAAACATGTTTAATCTGGTTTTATCGACGATTTTAATCTTATCTTCACCAGGTGAGTTTAATCTAATTCAACTTATCGTTTAAATCAACGTTAATCAAGATTTAATTTTGTTTAATTTTATTTTATACAGTATGGTCACAAAGATCCCCTACGATATCATATATATCCCAAGAAGTAATCGTGGATATAGGGGGAACGGCTCAAATGCAATGTTCAGTACAATATGTGCATGAATACCCGGTGGTTTGGATGAAATTAGATCAAAATGGAGGAGGTCAAGGAGTTCCAATTTCAACGGGGGCGACCCTAATCGTTCATGATTCACGATTTTCTCTCAGGCATGATCAAGGAAGCTCAACCTATACGTTACAAATTAAAGATATTCAAGAAACTGATGCTGCTGTTTACCAGTGCCAAGTTATTATATCTGTTAATAACAAGATTTCAGCGCCTGTTTCGTTATCGGTGAGAAGGCCCCCGGTTATTAGCGATAACTCAACTCGATCGGTGATTGTTTCTGAAGGACAATGTAAGTATTTAAGTAATTCTTTTTATATTTCAAGGATTTTAATCTTTATCTGGAGTTTGTGTCAAATTGATACAATTTTTAAGTCTACTTTTAGTCTAGACTGTTAAACAAACAAATTGTGGGGCTAAAACAAGTTTATTTAAAATAAAGCATAAACTTCTTTTAATAATAATTAATTGATACAAACTGTTAACTACTTTTTAACCGCCTTTCTTCTTAATTGTCAAAAGTGTATGATTAATTATTACCAACCACTTAACACTAAAAATAACTGTATTGACCAAAACTCCCTAACTTAACAACATAGATATTTTGATTTATTGTTAGTGAATGAATTTTGCTTTATTATGATTTCCTATTTCTGTTTTTCCAATTAATCTTATCTAGTAGGGTGGATAAAGAAAATCCTTAATTCGGTCATAATGTGTCAAATTGATACATCACTGCACCGCGCATGCGCCGCGCATTTTGACGTACTGTGCACTTTATTACCGACTTGTAATTTGTGTCATAAACAATGGTATTAGTGAAATTAAAGCACAATTAAAGGGTGAAAATACTCAAGTCTGCAAAAAACCGACATGAGAGACTCTCATGCGAGAATAGGTAATGATAAACACAAGGGGGGAGGTAGTATAGGAGAATATGGGGATCAGGAAGAGGCAGTGATGAACAGAAATGGGCAAAAAATGCTGGAATTTTTTCAAATAAACGACTTATTGATTGGAAACACTACATGATGTTTCCCGTTCATAGCACTGGAATTTATCATAGATCATTTACAGTACAGTCGATTGCGTTGTGGAATGGACTGCCTTCTGAAATTCGTAATATTTCTAGAATTACTAATTTTAGACATGTTTTAAAAAGCCACTTGCTTGCCCTTCAACTGGCTGTTTCCTGATTCTTTGTCTTTTTCTTTTCTCCTCTCTTCAACTGCTTTCACTTGTTGGCAACTGATATCCGGCAGATTCTTTTGGTTTCTTTTAGCCGCTCTCTATCTCTCTTTTCGTGTCTTTTCTTTATTTTTCTCTTTGTTTTTCTTTTTCTTGCTTAATCGTATTTGGTGATGTTAATGATATCTAATTATCACTGCTTGCCATATTCAGTAAATATTATTTTTGTTTGTTCTGTTGGGTCATTTGGCAGAGATCGCTTGTGCGATAAAATGATCCATTTGCTGATACTGCTTACTGTTTAAGTTAAGTGTATCTTATGTAATTTTGTATTTTTATCTGTGGCAATAAATGGTAAATAAATAAATGTCAGAGGAGGCAAGATAAAGATACGCTTGTAGCGGAAGAAAGGAATGCTAAGAGTATGAGTGCTAAGTTACATTACATATACCTGGAATTTCCAAAACAGAGTTGAGGAGTAAAGACATAAGCAGAAATGGGAACCAACCATTATACAATGACATATAGAATAAAATAATAAATGTAGAAATCGACAGAGAAAAGATTAAAAACTATGTACATGAAAATAAACGTCCATAAACTAAGGCAGGAGGAAGAAAGACTAAAATACCAAGAAAAAACAAGCAACGCATTTCAAAAACTAGAACAAACAGAGAATTTAAAGCCAGATTTATAGTTGTCTGACGTGTTGTGTTGTGATGCGCTCTGACGTAATGGTTAGTGTTCACATTTATATGTATGTTGTGTTCTGACGCACTCTGACGATATTTTGAATCAATACAATCGTAGCACTCAGAGAGTTTATACGTGGGTCTATAATGTTTTCCCATGAATCTTCTGATTCAGATTATGAAGAAGATATTCATTTTATGGTACTGGCAACTCTTCTAAAAAGAGAGAAGATATTGGGTTCATCCAGTGAACAGAAAGAGAGAGGCTAAAGGCGAATTTCACGGCCTGGTTAAAGAGCTTGAGAGCGATGTTGATAATGTTAAGAAACGCAAATCTGACGAGTCATAAGACAGGTGTACTTGTCTGATCTATCGTTATGCGTCACTTCCCACTCCACTGCTCTGACGAACATCGGGATCGCTGCTGATGCGACACAACACAAGGCACCACAACACATTGCGACACACAAATATAAATCTCACCATAGTAAATGTATTCAACCGATACCGTTCTGACGCGTCACAACACGACACGTCAAACAAATATAAATAAATCCGGCTTTAAATTTGGCTTAACACTGAAAGAAATTTTGAGGATTTTGAGATAATACGAATTAAAGCTATCGAGGTGTGTGGAATGAGAAACTATAATAATCAGACAAAGAAAACACACTGGTGGAATGCAAAGGACCGACAGGCAATCAAGAAGAAGAAAGAGTCATGGAAGAAATACATACTTATTTATTTAATACACACAGTTGAGCACTAAAAAATGCCAATAAAGAAAATACTCAAAATATATAGAATTTACTTATACAGGGAGGGGCAGAATGCAGTCCCTGATTTGAAGAGTTAATTGTAAGACAACGGTTCGAGATAAATAAAAAAAGGTTTTATTGCTCAAAAGTACATATAATACTGTTTTTTTTTCACGATGTTTTAAAAATAATATCGTCCAAGTGGAGGTCTTGGCGAGCAATACACATATTAAGTCTTTCAAAGAAGTTTTCGGCCACTCTTCCCAGTATATCTTGCGAAATTTCACCAATCGCCACCTTCAGTCCACACAATAGTGCCGGAGGGTGCAGTAGTTAGGATTGCTTTGCAAGCGTCTCTACGTTTCACAAAGTCTTGTGGGCTCAATTCTCGTGCACTCATCATCTTGTAGGGGTGTAGGTGAAGGTCTGAGTGTAAGATTCGTCTTACAGTTCTGGACGATATTCGAAGCGCAGCAGCATGTTATCGCGCAACGTGTTTTTTAGGAACTCCAGAAGGCCTCTGCGTCGCCACAACATTTTCCCCGTTTTTAAAGAACGTCTCCACAACAAAGCGCCGTTGCTCACCTGACCACGGCATGGTGGATACTGATAACGGTATTGTTCCCCCTACCTAACGGCACCTGAACCACCTCTCTATTCGGTTTGGGCGCCGTACAGTAAGTTTTTGAAAGTAGGGACTGCATTCTGCCCCACCCTGTATAGACTAGTAGTAATTATTATGATCAGCTTTACATGCCGCGATTATCAAATGCTTAAGGCAGGAACACATTTATCTGATTAAACACAATGCAGCGTTACGTCGCTTAAAATCATCGACTGTACGTATTTGCGTGATGCGACGCCATGCCACGCTGGTCAACGTATTTTTTTGTATTTGGAGGGAAACGAATTTCTTATAACAGTACTCAACTCAGGACTCACGCCAGTACTATGACAGTAGATATAATGTTCTTTTATGTATTTACATCACGTAACTTCTTTCAAATTTTACTAAAAATTTAAATAGCGCGAAAGCTATTGGTTCTGAAACGTCATCACATGTAACGTCACAATATATTTGATCTAATTGCGTATGATTAGATTTCCGGCGACGTGCCGAAGTGGCAAGCTCTGGGAGACGTACTATGCAATACAAATTAAACTCCGACCCTTCTCCGGGGATTTCTTCGGAAAGTCTCCAAGGTAAACTTCGGCGAGTCGCTGGCGATCGACTATGCATACGAGCGTTAGAGCATTTGAAAAGATCATGGACAGTTCAGACGAATTTGAGGAAGAAATGGAAGAAGCTGGGGCGGCGATATGCATTTTATCACAAAGGACAGTGTGGGTACACGAAATTAACGTTGATAGGGAACGTGATGGAGAATACCATACTTTAACGAACATGTTAGAAAAAGAAGAAAATTTTGAGTATTTACATGATTTAATAAAAGAAAAGATTAGAAAACTTGATACAAATTTTTTGCGTTATATTGGAATGCAACTGGATATGGCAGATATCATTATTGAAGCCGCATGTTGTGCACCAATCACAACTTACAAGGTAGTACAATATTATACCGGTTTTGTAATTTTTGAATAAACAATATGTATTTATTTAAAATACTACATTCATACTTGTAGAATTCATCTTTCGTGCTACGCCCTTCCAAGATTCTTGGCGCATTGTTTGATCACCGTAAAATTTCGATTTTTGATCGTACAAATAGGGATGGCTGCGATCCCTGTTGGGATCGGATCGGATTGGACTTTTAAACACGCCGTAGCGAGTCGCAAAAGACATCAACCCCCGCGCCACGATGTAAATAGTCGCATGTGTGCGCTATTCTCAACATGGGAGAGTTCTGGAAGACATTCGTAGGAGGAGTAAATAATTGAGCCAAAGACACCGGGGAGGAACACGAAAATTAACGACCTCAAGAAGACTAGGAGAATCAATACTACCATTAATGATTTTATGGAATGTTAAAGCATCACCACATGAACAACGCTGACGGAATGATAAGAAGTTGATGGAGGCACAGCCTGATACGTAATCAATGTACGCGATGTGGCTTTTAAAACATAGATACTTGTAGAATTTCTTTTGAATTCTTTCAATTCTGGTACTATGTTTGATATTGGCATATAGGCAAAATACAATCTTCTTATAGCATAAATATTTGTAAAATTTTGCGTAACTCTCATAACGAAGCCAAGCATGCACCAAGCCTTAGCAACAGCTAACTTGGCCTTCAAACGTTAGTTTGACATCAAATGTGATGCTTAAATAAAGACACTTACAAGGGAAATTTTGGACATATGGGAGATTTTTATGCAACAATAGAATAGGGAAAAGAAGATGAGATAAGCGAAGACACTACAGGCATGGTAACTGAAGAGATAATAATGGAAGAATTGGAGAGGCAATGGTAATAATAATAAGATAAATATATAAACATATATGTGTATCTTTATTGCCCAACAAAGTACCAATAAAATACAGAACAATATTATACTATACAGAAATACAAACTTACATTAACCCAAAAATCAATTAAACACTAAGCGAAAACATTGTAATCGTCTCTCAGGTTTACAATACCTGCACATTCTCTGTAGCGGGGCGTTAGCCAACACGTTCGTTGTACTATTCTTCAAATAGAAGACAAGGTGTATCGGGTAGCGTTACAATCCGTCTCACCACTCACCAGCTTTATAATAAATTTAACGTCGACATCATTTCTACGAGTGTCAAGCGAAAAGAAAACGAAGAGAAAAACAAAACGAAGAGGAACAGAATAAGCTCCATCCACGCGAAAGGAACGGTAGTTTAAAAACCTTTTTTGAATTCTCTCCAACAGAAGAGGATGCGAGATATAACGCGGTGAAACAAGCGCCCGAAAAAGCCATATGTATAGAGATATACAGTAGGATGAAGGGACAGGAGTAGTTCTACGTGTAAAACTGATAGCATTACTCTTTTCCACATTAATCCTGATCTGATTACGATCGCACCATTCCACCAAAATATCAAGATCCGACTGCATCGAAGACACATCATCATCCGAGGTCATAGGGCGAAATATCTTACGATCATTAGCATAGGCCAATACACAAGATTTAAATAATGATGTTTAATAAGTCGTTAATAAATATTACAAACAGTAGTGGATCCAAGTTAGAGCCAAGTTAGTGCAATAAACTCCACCGAAGCAAAGCCATTATAAGATACATAATTGGCCCTTTTTGATAAACACGATGAAACAAGACACGTAAGTCCAGCTTCTCCAACCTTCTGGAGGAGAAGATCGTGATGGATCGCATCAAACGTTTTAGAAAAGTCAATCTACACTAAGTACATATTTATTAAGGAACAAAAGATAGAAGAAGTATCATTATACAGTACCGCTCAAAAGTATATGATAATTTGGTTTTTCCCACATAACTTTTTTGAAACATAAGTCAAGAAATATCAACATAACAATCGTGAACGGCAATCAGCCATGTAGAGCAACCTAGTACTTGGTTGGGTAACCCATCCTGTTGATCACAGCCTGACATCTGGACATGGAATCGATCAATGCATCGATAGTGGACTGGTCGATCTTCACCCACTTCGCCTGCAGCTGTTGGAGCTTTTCGTCGGCGGAAGTGGTCCGAATGCCCGTCAACTTGTGTCAAAAAGTGTCCCACAGTGGTTTGAAGATGTTGAGATCCGGGCTCTGGGTGCACCAGACCATTACCGCCACTTAACGCTGCGCGATACAGTTGGACATTCTTGAATGTGTGCTTGGGATCATTGCCTTGCTGAAACAGCCAACACCGACCCATGTTTTTGCGTGGCCAAGGAAGCATGTCACCTTGTAGACAGTCCCTGTACTTCTGGCGGTCCATGGTGACCGTAATGCGAACCAGAGACCCTGTGATAGCAGCGCTGAAGCACCCCCACACCATGACAGAACCACCGACATGCTTCATCGTGGGAAGCAGGCACTTAGGATCGAAGCGAGTGCCCAAAGGATGGCGTATGCGATATGCCATCAGTTCCGAATAGCAGGAACTTGCTCTCGTCGATCCACAGGGACGTTCTCCTACTGCTGCCGGGTGCAGTTGAGGGGCGCGTTCGCCTACTCCACGCGTGCCTTCCTGTTCTTAGCTGAAACGAGTGGTTTCTTTACCGGACGTCGACCAATGAGTCCTGCATCCTTCAGCTTCCTCTTGACCGTCGATGTAGACGCTGCGCAGAACACCACAATCCTCCCCTAATGTCCACCGTCGTGAGCCGTGTGTTCGCTATGCACAGCATCTTGTCTTCCAGCCGGTTGGTGATTTGAGGTCTATCATTTTAGTTTCTTCGTTACTAAGCAACCAAACGTGATAAGCTGGATCTGTGTGCATCCTTGTCGAGCACCCTATATGATGGCTTTCTGCGTCGATTTCGACAAATCTCTCTTTCTTTTTACTCATTCTTAAGAATAATATTTCATAACTTTGGCATATATTGTATCCTCTGGAATATAATATAATTGTATTCACTCGTTATGCATTGTCGAAAAATTGTTGAAGATTCGTCCAGTATTAGAAAAGTTATGTGGGAAAAACCAAATTATCATATACTTCTGAGCGGTACTGTATGATGCTTGGACAGTATAATATCACAAGATGGAAGGATAGATTCTCTATTATAGATACTCTAAACAGAACAATTTTTGGGAAAAGAAGATAGTAAAAAGATAAAATTGAAAGTATACAACTCGATGGCACTCTCAATATTAACATATGCCAGTGAATCATGGAGACTCTACGATAAACAAGAAGGAAAGATCACAGCAATGGAAATGAAATTTTTACGGAAAATTGTGGGGAAGACGAAGTCAAAGAAGAAATAAAGAAACAAAATAGAGAGAAAACAACTAAACTGGTATGCCCACATAATATGAATGGAACATAACACAATAGTAAAACAGGTATTTGAAGCGAAGAATTAAGGATAAGAAAAAGAGGAGAAGACGTAGGAAGAAGTGGGAAGAAAGAATAGCAGAAGTTAGGAAGAAGAGCGGGAAGACTCTAGCAGATATGGATGGAGGAATAAGAAAAAGATTTATCCGACGCCATCAGGAGAAGAAGAAGATTCTCTTAATTTGGTATTGATGACAATTACACCGAGGACGATGAATACTATATTCCAAGTATAAATGAAGTTGAAGAAGCAAGTGAAGAGTACGACAGCGATGATTCTGATGTTGACTTTGTTGAGCAGGAAACAAGAGATCTTGTTGATCTCTTGGTTGTTGAAATGACGAATTTCAAAGGGGGAAAGTATTGAGAAATTGTGGGATGATAAACATGGCCGTTCAATTTTTGCAGCAACCACGGCGATGCGGCAGGGACAAGGCAAAGACATCGATCGCTGTCTCCAATTCGACGATAAAGAGCAAAGACGGAAAATCCGTGACAAACTTGCTCCCATTCGATGTATTTTTGATAAATGGGTTCAACGTTTGAAAATGTCATAAGTTCCTGGTGATTTTATAACTGATGATGAGCAGTTGCTTCCGTTTCGTGGACGTGTACTATACAAACAGTACATTCCATCGAAGCACTACCAAACATGTAAATGCACTCAAATTCACTAACATCATCATCACTAGAACACGCACCACCGACCAAAAAGAGAGCTCGTTGTCATGTGTCCATCTTGCTCAAGCACTAATCTTCACAGCATTCGCTGACAAATGTGTCAAATACGTTTTGTATGGCTCATCGATTTGCAATTTGTGAGAAATGTGCAAATTTGATGCAATTCTACTGAAACCTCTTTTATTTTCAATAAAATATAAAATAACTAAAATAATTTGTTTATTTTCATCTATACAAATAGGAAAATGAACAGTTACTGTCTGGAGATGTGTCAATTTGACACATAAAGTCTGGATTCGGTTGTCCGAATGAAGGTTAAACGGATTTGTTAACCCCTCGGCAAGACATTCGTTTATGCCTGCGTAAATACGGAATTTTAAGGAATCGATTCCCGCATTGTTCGCATTGGAAAGGTTTTAAGTTCCCGTTTTTATCGTGCGTCTTTAAATGAGTTTTAAAATGCCCGGTGTGGTTAAATCCTTTACCGCAAAACTCGCATTTCCTCTTTTTTGCATCGAAATGATTCGACTTGTGCGAATTTAAAGCCGTGTCGTTGTTAAATTGGTTTCCACACAAGTTACATTGATACAAAGAACAAAAATTTTCCGACGAAACTATTTCGTATTCTCCGATATCGATTTCGTCTTTGATTATAAAGTTTTTCGAGTCAAAATTAGTTTCGAATGTATCGGTTGTATTGGTTTCGGCTCCAATTTCGATTTCGTGTTTTATTTGGGTGTTTTTAACGGTTTTTAATTTTTCCTCGGATTGGAGGCAGCTTGTTTTGAAGTTGTAGGCGGTTTCGAGGTTGCTTAAGCATGCGGGGCATATTTGGGGGGTTTCCGTGAGGCTTAAATCCTTTAAAATGAATCTTATTTATTGATTGTTTAATGCTAAAAGGTTTTTTACTTACAATTTCAGGGAGGATTAATTCTATGTAAGTTGAATATAGTAATAATGACTTAAATTGAGTGTTTTCCGACGATTTTAAGCAAAATCGACAAATAGCCATTGTATTTGTCGCTTTTTTTTGACTTAATAATAAGGGAAATGTCAAAAAGTGTTTTATTTTGTTGTTTTTGAGTGATGTGAAGTTAACCATGATCTGCAGTGCTCATTCAATGATTGTGTCATTTCTAAAGTGGTGCTATTTAAAGTTTTTGGTATACAAATATTTTGTTCTAAGGTATAATGTGTTTGTTTTGACTATTTCTTATATATTATACATTAGGTACTGTTGGCAAAAGACTAGTACTGCTTAGAGAAGTCTATATACAACTGGATACTGTTTGCAGAAGACTAATTATTGCTTCCTGAAGATTAAATACCTTTGACAGGATTACATATTGCAAAAGAAAGGCGAGATACTGCTTGCAGAGAGATAAAGAAAAGATAGGTGGTGTTGGCAGAAGACTAAATACCTCTGATAACTTTAAATACTGTAAAAGAAAGATGAGATACTGTTTACAGAAAGATAAATATTGTTGGCAGAAGACTGGAACTATTTTTAAAGACTAGTTTTTGCTTCCTAAATACTAGTAGCTACTTCTTAAGGGCTAAATGCCTCTGACATGTTTAAATACTGCAAAAGAAAGATGAGATGCTGTTTGCTGAAGGATAAATGCTGTTGGTAGAAGACAAGCACTATTTTTGAAGCCTAATTTCTGCTTTCTGAAGACTAGCTACCACTTCCTGAGGACTAGATACCTCTGACAGGTTTAGATATTACAAAATAAAGATGAGTTACTATTTAGAAGGATAGATGCTGTTGGCAGAATACTAGATACTGTTTTTTGAAGACTAAATATTGCTTTCTGAAGACTAGATATTTTTGACAGATTTAAATACTGCACAGGTGAGATGAAATACTGTTTGTAGAAAGATAAATGCTGTTAAGAGAAGACTGGAGCTATTTTTGAAGACTAGTTTCTGCTTCCTGAAGACTAGTTACTCCTTCCTGAGGAGAAAATTTCGTTGACAGGTTTAAATACTGCAAATACTGATTGCAGAACGATAGATGCTGTTGGGAAAAGACTACAATTATTTTTAACAATTATTTTTAATTGCTTCCTGAGGACTAGGTACTGTTTTTGGAAGATTAATTACTATTTCCTAAAAACTAGATACTTCTGACAGTTTTAAGTAATGCAACGAGAAGGTGAGATACTGTTTGCAGAAAGATATATGCTGTATGCAGAAGACTAGATACTGTTTTTGGAGGACTAGCTACTGAAGATTTCATTTATTTTCAAGATTTCACTCTAGAATCACGCCATATGTTGCTGGTGCTTATTTGATACCCGAGGAACCGATTTGAAATTGTTAAAAAAAATTTATTTCAAGTTTATTCCGTTCCTTAATCAGTAAATTAAGTTAAAATAATGTTACCTATTGATTAACGTTCGATTAGCATTATATTAAAGTTAGCATGGCAGTAATTAATGTGAGTAGAAACTTGTATTTAATTAACAGGACGCTCTCTAATGATATAATATTCGATAATAGTTGTATAAAAAAGCTTTGCCCACAATTATGGTTTGATAGCTTAATCTAACGTTAATCTAACTGTTAACTCTAATTAACGCTTAATTTGGCGTTGATCGAGCGTTAACTCTACGTTAAGGTTCCAAAAAAATTAAAGGTGGTTTTTACAAATTTTTTTAACGAATTTTCATCGATAAACAGCATCATGTTAGTTATAACCGACACTTAATCGACCAAAGGCATCGTAGAGTTTTTAATAAAGACAAATTAACGCTTAATTTGGCGTTAATCAAGCGTTAACTCTAGGTTACGGTACCAAAAAAATTACAGATGGTTTTTATAAATTTTTTTAACGACTTCTCATCGATAAATACTATCATATTAGCTATAACCGACACTTAATCGACCAAAGGCATCGTAGAGTTTTTAATAATGACAAATTAACTTAATTTGGCGTTAAACGAGTGTTAACTCTAATTTAGCGTCACAAAGAATGGAAAGTGGTTTTTATATAAATTTTCATCGAAAAATTCCGTCGTGTTAGCTTTAACCGAGAGTTAATCGATCTAAGTTTTTTGATAAAGGATAAATTAACCAATACTTAATCAAACGAGTGTTATCTAAGTGTTTGTGTCGTATTGAAACAAAATGGGCATTATAAAGTCAAATTCGAATGCTAATTAACGCTTAATCTGGCGTTAATCGAGCGTTAACTCTAGTTAAGGTTCCAAAAAAATTAAATATAGTTTTTATAAATTTTTTTAACAAATTTTCATCGGTAAATAGCATCATGTTAGCTATAACCGCTACTAAATCGACCAAAGGCATCGTAAAGTTTTTAATAAATATAAATTAATGCTTAATCTGGCGTTAATCGAGTGTTAACTCTAATTTAGCGTCACAAAGAATGGAAAGTGGTTTTTATATAAATCTTCATCGATAAATACCGTCACGTGAGCTTTAACCGAGAGTTAATCGATCTAAGTTTTTTGATAAAGGATAAATTAACCAATACTTAATCAAACGAGATTATATAAGTGTTTTTGTCGCATTGAAACAAAATAAGCATTATAAAATCAAATTCGACTGCTAATTATCGCTTAATCTGGAGTTAATCGAGCGTTAACTCTATGTTAAGGTACCAACAAAAATTAAAGATGATTTTTATAAAATTTTTTTAATGAATTTCCATCGATAAATAGCATCAAGTTAGCTATAACCGACACTTAATTGACCAAAGACATCGTAGAGTTTTTAATAAATACAAATCAATGCTTAATCTGGCGTTAATCGAGTGTTAACTCTAATTTAGCGTCACAAAGAATGGAAAGTGGTTTTTATATAAGTCTTCATCAAAAAATACCGTTACGTTAGCTTTAACCGAGAGTTAATCGATCTAAGTTTTTTGATAAAGGATAAATTAACCAATACTTAATCAAACGAGTATTATCTATGTATTTGTCTCGTATTGAAACAAAATGGGCATTATAAAATTAAATTCGAATGCTAATTAACGCTTAATTTGGCGTTAATCAAGCATTAATTCTACGTTAAGGTTCCAAAAAAATTAAAGATGGTTTTTATATAATTTTTTTAACGTATTTTCATGGATAAATAGCATCATGTTAGCTATAACCGTCACTTAATCAACCAAAGGCATCAAGAGAGTTTTTAATGAAGACAAATTATCGCTTAATCTGGTGTTAATCGAGTATTAACTCTATGTTAAGGTTCCAAAAAAGTTAAAGATGGTTTTTATAAAGCATTTTAACGAATTTTCATCGATAAATAGCATCATGTTAGCTATAATCGACCAAAGGCATCGTAGAGTTTGTAATAAAGACTAATTAACGCTTAATCTGGCATTAATCGAGCGTTAACTCTAATTTAGCATCACAAAGAATGGAAACTGGTTTTTATATAAACCTTCAACGAAAAATTCCATCATGTTAGCTTTAACCGAGAGTTGTTAATCGAGCGTTAACTCTATGTTAAGGTTCAAAAAAAATAAAGATGCTTTTTATACAATTTTTTTAACGTATTTTCATGGATAAATAGCATCATGTTAGCTATAACCGACACTTAATCGACCAAAAGCATCTTAGAGTTTTTAATAAAGACAAATTAACGCTGTTAATCAACGCTTAATCTGGCGTTAATCGAGTGTTAACTCTAATTTAGCGTCANGTAAAAGAAAGATGACATACTGCTTGCAGAAAGATAGATGCTGTTGGGAGAAGACTAGAATTATATTTTAGACTAGTGTTTGCTTCCAGAGGAGTAAATACCTCTGACAGGTTTAAATACTGCAAAGGAGAGATGAGATGATCCTGTTGGCAAAATACTAGATACTGTTTTTAGAAGACTAATTACTATTTCCTAGAAACTAGATACTTCTGACAGGTTGAAGTAATGCAACGTGAAGATGAGATACTGCAGAAAGATAGATGCTGTTGGCAGAAGACTAGATACTGTTTTTGGAGGACTAGCTACTGAAGATTTCATTTATTTTTAATTTTTCACTCTAGAATCAGGCCCTGCTTATTTGATACAAGAATTTCAAGTTTATTCCGTTCCTTAATCAGTAAATTAAGTTAAATTAACGTTACCTATTCATTACCGTTCAATTAGCATTATATTAAAGTTAGCATGGCAGTAATTAATGTGAGTAGAAACTTGTATTTAATTAACAGGACGCTCTCTAATGATATAATATTCGATAATAGTTGTATAAAAAGTTGATTTGCACAAAATTATGGTTTGATAGCTTAATCTAACGTTAATCGACTATTAACTCTAGGTTAAGGTTTCAAAAATTTTATTAAAACCATCTTTTATGGTTTTAATAAAATTTTTTAACGAATTTTCATCGATAAATAGCATCATGTTAGCTATAACCGACACTTAATCGACCAAAAGTATCGTGGAGTTTTTAATAAAGACAAATTAACGCTGTTAATCAACGCTTAATCTGGCGTTAATCGACTGCTAACCCTAATTTAGCGTCACAAAGAATGGAAAGTGGTTTTTATATAAATTTTCATCGAAAAATTCCGTCATGTTAGCTTTAACCGAGATTTAATCGATCTAAGTTTTTTGATAAAGGATAATTTAACCACTACTTAATCAAACGAGTATTGTCTGAGTGTTTGTGTCGTATTAAAACAAAATGGCCATTATAAAATCAAATTTGAATGCTAATAACACTTAATTTGGCGTTAATCGAGCGTTAACTCTATGTTAAGGTTCCAAAAAAATTAAAGATGATTTTTATAAATTTTTTTAACGAATTTTCATCGATAAATAGCATCGTGTTAACTATAACCGACACTTAATCGACCAAAGGCATCGTAGAGTTTTTAATAAATACTAATTAACGCTTAATCTGGCGTTAATCGAGTGTTAACTCTAATTTACCGTCACAAAGAATGGCAAGTGGATTTTATATAAATCTTCAACGAAAAATACCGTCACGTTAACTTTAACCGTGAGTTAATCGATTTAAGTTTTTTGTTAAAGGATAAATTAACCAATACTTAATCAAACGAGTATTATCTAAGTATTTGTGTCGTATTGAAACTAAATGGGCATTATACAATCAAATTCGAATACTGATTAACGCTTAATCTGGCGTTAATCGAGCGCTAACTCTATGATAAGATTCCAAAAAAATTAAAGATGGTTTTTATAAATTTTTTTAACGAATTTTCATCAATAAATAGCATCATGTTAGCTATAAACGACACTTAATCGACCAAAGGCATCGTAGAGTTTTTAACAAAGACAAATTAACGCTGATAATCAACGCTTAATCAGGCGTTAATCGAGTGTTAAATCTAATTTAACGGCACAAATAATGGAAAGTGGTTTTTATATAAATCTTCATCGAAAAATACCGTCACGTTAGCTTTAACCGAGAGTTAATCGATCTAAGTTTTTTGATAAAGGATAAATTAACCAATACTTAATTAAACGAGTATTATGTAAGTGTTGGTGTCGTATTGAAAAAAAGTAGGCATTATAAAATCAAATTCGAATTCTAATTAACGCTTAATCTGGTGTTCATCGTGCGTTAACTCTATGTTAAGGTTCCCAAAAAATTAAAGATGGTTTTTATATAATTTTTTTAACGTATTTTTATGGATAAATAGCATCATGTTAGCTATAACCGTCACTTAATCAACCAAAGGCATCATAAAGTTTTTAATAAAGACAAATTATCGCTTAATCTGGTGTTAATCGAGTGTTAACTCTAATTTAGCGTCACAAAGAATGGAAAGTGGTTTTTATATAAATCTTTATCGAAAAATACGGTCACGTTAGCTTTAACCGAGAGTTAATCGATATAAGTTTTTTGATAAATGATAAATTAACCAATACTTAATCAAACGAGTATTATCTAAGTATTTGTCTCGTATTGAAACAAAATGGGCATTATAAAATCAAATTCGAATGCTAATTAACGCTTAATTTGGCGTTAATCGAGCGTTAACTCTACGTTAAGGTTCCAAAAAAAATTAAAGATAGTTTTTATACATCTTTTTAACGAATTTTCATCGATAAATAGCATTGTGTTAACTATAACCGACACTTAATCGACCAAAGGCGTCGTAGAGTTTTTAAATTAAATTAACGCTTAATCTGGCGTTAATCGAGTGTTAACTCTAATTTAACATCACAAAGAATGGAAAGTGGTTTTTATATAAATCTTCATCGACAAATATCGTCACGTTAGCTTTAACCGAGAGTTAATCGATCTAAGTTTTTTGATAAAGAATAAGTTAACCAATACTTAATCAAACGAATGTTATCTAAGTGTTTGTATCGTATTGAAACTAAATGGGCATTATAAAATCAAATTCGAATGCTAATTAACGCTTAATCTGGTGTTCATCGTGCGTTAACTCTATGTTAAGGTTCCAAAAAAATTAAAGATGGTTTTTATATAATTTTTTTAACGTATTTTCATGGATAATAGCATCATGTTAGCTATAACCGTCACTTAATCAACCAAAGGCATCATAAAGTTTTTAATAAAGACAAATTATCGCTTAATCTGGTGTTAATCGAGTGTTAACTCTATGTTAAGGTTCTAAAAAAGTTAAAGATGGTTTTTATAAAACTTTTTAACGAATTTTCATCGATAAATAGCATCATGTTAGCTATAATCGACACTTAATCGACCAAAGGCATCGTAGAGTTTGTAATAAAGACTAATTAACGCTTAATCTGGCGTTAATCGACTGTTAACTCTAATTTAGTATCACAGAGAATGGAAAGTGAAGTTAATCGATCAAATTTTTTTGATAAAGAATAAATTAACCAATACTTAATCAAACGGGTATTATTTGAGTGTTTGTGTCGTATTGAAACAAAATGTGCAGTATAAAATCAAATTCAAATTCTAATAAATGCTTAATCTGGCGTTAATCGAGCGTTAACTCTATGTTAAGGTTAAAAAAAATAAAGATGCTTTTTATACAATTTTTTAACGTATTTTCATGGATAAATAGCATCATGTTAGCTATAACCGACACTTAATCGACCAAAAGCATCTTAGAGTTTTTAATAAAGACAAATTAACGCTGTTAATCAACGCTTAATCTGGCGTTAATCGAGTGGTTTTTATATAAATCTTTATCGAAAAATATGGTCATGTTAGCTTTAACCGAGAGCTAATAAACGATAAATTAACCAATACTTAATCAAACGAGTATTATCTAAGTGTTTGTGTCGTATTGAAACAAAATGGGCGTTATAAAATCAAATGCGAATGCTAATTAACGCTTAATTTGTCGTTAATCGAGCGTTAACTCTACGTTAAGGTTCCAAAAAAATTAAAGATGGTTTTTATAAAATTTTTTAACGAATTTTCAACGATAAATAACGTTATGTTAGCTTAATTAACAAAAGGCGTCGTTGACTTAAAAAAACAAACAGCTAATCTAACGTTAATCGAGCGTTAAGTCTAAGTTAAAGTCCCAAATAAATCAAAAATGTTTTTTTAACGAATTTTCATCGATAAATATCGTTACGTTAACTATAACCAGAAATTAATCGATCAAAAGCATTACTTTATTATACATATATTTAATAATGTATTTTTTTGTTACAGCTGTGGAATTAAATTGTTACGCATCCGGCTACCCAACCCCAAAAATCTCTTGGCGTCGCGAAAACAACGCAATCCTCCCCACGGGTGGTTCAATTTACCGCGGAAACGTGTTAAAAATTAAGCGCGTCCGAAAAGAAGATCGAGGCACTTATTATTGCGTCGCCGAAAACCTCGTTGGCAAAGGAACCCGTCGCAACATGAACGTCGAAGTTGAATTTCCCCCCGTCGTTACCGTCCCAAGACCCCGCGTTGGTCAAGCCTTGCAATACGACATGGATATGGAGTGTCACATCGAAGCGTATCCGCTCCCATCGATTATTTGGTTAAAAGACGGTGTTGCATTATCATCGAATCAACATTATAGTGTTTCAACTTTTGGTGCAGCTGAGGAATTCACCGATAGTACGCTTCGTGTCATTACCATTGAGAAGAAACAATATGGAAAGTACGTTTGTAAGGCGACGAATAAGTTGGGGAGATCCGAAGCGGAAGTTGATTTATTTGGTAAGTAGAGAATTTGTTTTTAAATCGAAGTTGTTGATGTTTTAATTTTTTTTTAATGTCGTATAGAATCGATAGTGCCTATTTGTCCACCTGCTTGTGGGCAATCTTACACTGGAAATGCGATCTCTTTGTCTGCCTCGACCGTCTTAATATTATGTTTGGTTGTATTTTTAAGGTTTTAATTAGGAATGATTAACTCGAATTCTGTAATATTGGCTAATATTGAATGAATTATTTCAATCTCATTACACATCTTACTCGTAATAGTTTTAGTATTTAACTGAATGTATTTATTTTGACAACAAGGCTGCTGTTTTGTTGTGAAAAAATGTTTTTTTTTATTGTTGTATATAACCGAGTCCATATTTCGAATTTAATATCTTCCTGATGTTTTTATTTTATTTTATTTTTTTGAATTGATTTAAAAGTGGACTAATAACAATAACAATATTATTAATACAATAGAATTTAGGGATGATGAATTTATTGGAACAAACAACGTGTAGTATTTTTTTATTGCAGGCACTAACGATATTATTAAAGATAGTATTTTTCACGCACGTCTATTTGTAAATAAATTCGATCGATATTATTTTAAATATTGTAAGGATTTTTGTACTTTGTAATTTTGTACAAATAAAGAATACGTTTTAATAAAAAAAATAGAGTCCAATGTGGAACTAACTAAATCCTGTTGATCCTTGTTGTTATGGATGATACAATAAATGGTATAAAAATTATTAATAGTGTACTGGATAGCAACAAGGCAAACGTATTCCCAAGCAAGGGCGTCGCCAGCTAGTGGGCCAGGAGGGCACGACAAAAAAATTGAAAAATAACACCAAAGTGTTTATTAAGTGTTTTTAAGATTATTAATAAAACCCTCAAAGTCTTCAAAAATACACATTCATCATGGGAAGACCATTGAGACGACATTCTGCCATAGTGCTTCTAAGCCAGGTTTTCTTGTCCTCAAGCTGCTAAAAGATCGTTCAACAGTATATGTCGTGCAGGGTAAAGTGGCCAAAATTATAAAGGCTTTTCTCGTTTCAGGGAAAAAAATGTCGGCATCTTTTATGACATCCACAACACTTAATTCTTTTGAGTCAGGTTTATCTTGCCATAGTTTTTTCCATAGTTCAATTTCGTTGTTGATATTTGATAAATTGTAAAATTGGGAAAAGACTTCACCAGCTTCTACGAGGTCTTCAAGGGACATGTCTAACATTTGACGAGGTGTTTTCTTCAGAAAAGCGAACTTCAAAAGAATTAATAATCGAGTCTAAGTATGGTATTATTAAAGACCTCCGCCAGAATTCTGAGGGGCTTGCTGCTGGGTGGTTGTTCTGATGTTGTTGTCTCTCAACAATACGGGGCAAGGACTTCATGTCTTCTCCTAGCCCAAGTTTTTCTGCAACGATAGTAGCGTCCCTAATAATTCCATTTGTGACGTTTTCTGGACCGTTACGGTGGTTTTCTATAAATTCCAAAAGGCGGCTTATGTGCTGGGATGCTTTAACTGTATTCAAAACTACGGATTGGAGCACGTTTACCACAGGTTCCATCATAGCCGAGTATTTGGCTATCAAAATAAAGCTGAGAATAAACGAAACTCTATATAGATGTTGTAAATGAACCACATCTTTCTTAAAAAAAACTACACACTACTGCTAAAAAACGAAATACTGTTACCAGAAGACTTTATTTTGTTGTCAGAAAACCAAATTCTTTTGTCAGAAGACTAGATATTACCAATGGTGCAAATCCTTCTCATAGAACATAATACAGTCTCACCAGAAGACGAAATAGCGTTAGTAGAAGACCAGAAATTGCTGGCAGAAGGCTACTTATTGCTAGTAAAAGACTAGATATTGTAAATGAAACACATCTTTCTTAAAAAAAACTACACACTACTGCTAAAAAACGAAATACTGTTACCAGAAGACTTGATTTTGCTGTCAGAAAACCAAATTCTTTTGTCAGAAGACTAGATATTACCAATGGTGCAAATCCTTCTCATAGAACATAACACAGTCTCCCCAGAAGACGAAATATTACTGGTAGAAGATTACGTATTGCTAGTAAAGGACTAGATATTGTAAATGAATCACATCTTTCTTAAAAAAACTACACCCTACTGTTAAAAAACGAAATACTGTTACCAGAAGACTTGATTTTGCTGTCAGAAAACCAAATTCTATTGTCAGAAGACTAGATATTACCAATGGTGCAAATCCTTGTCATAGAACATAACACAGTCTCACCAGAAGACGAAATACTGTTGGTAAAAGACCAGATATTGCTGAAAAAGACTAGATATTGCTGGCAGAAGACTAAGTATTGCTAGTGAAAGACTAGATATTGCAAATGAGGCACATCATTCTTACACAAGACTACACACTACTATTAAAAATCGAAATACTGTTAGCAGAGGACTTAATATTACTGTCAGAAGACCAAATTTTGTTGTTAGAAGACTAGATATTGCCAATGGTACAAATCCTTCTCATAGAACATAACACAGTCTCTCCAGAAGACGAACTACTGTTGCTAGAATGCTAGATATTGCTGAAAAAGACTAGATATTGCTACTAGAAGACTACTTATTGCTAGTAAAAGACTAGATGTTGTAAATGAACCACATCTTTCTTAAAAAAAACTACACATTACTGCTAAAAAACGAAATACTGTTACCAGAAGACTTGATTTTGCTGTCAGAAAATCAAATTCTTTTGTCAGAAGACTAGATATTATCAATGGCGCAAATCCTTCTCATAGAACATAACACAGTCTCACCAGAAGACGAAATACTGTTGGTAGAAAACCAGATATTACTGAAAAAAACTAGTGATAGACTAAGTATTGCTAGTGAAAGACTAGATACTGCAAATGAAGCACATCATTCTTACAGAAGACTACGCATTACTATTAAAAATCGAAATACTGTTAGCAGAAGACTTAATATTACTGTCAGAAGACGAAATTATGTTGTTAGAAGACTTGATATTGTCAATGGTACAAATCTTTCTCATAGAACACAACACAGTTTCACCAGAAGACGAATTACTGTTCGTAGAAGACTAGATATTACTGGCAGAAGACTACTTATTGCTAGTAAAAGACTAGATGTTGTAAATGAATTACATCTTTCTTAAAAAAAACTACACACTACTGCTAAAAAGCGAAATACTGTTACCAGAAGACTTGATTTTGCTGTCAGAAAACCAAATTCTTTTGTCAGAAGACTAGATATTACCAATGGTGCAAATCCTTCTCATAAAACATAACACAATCTCACCAGAAGACGAAATATTGTTGGTAGAAGACTGGATATTGCTGAAAAAGGCTAGATATTGCTGGCAGAAGACTAAGTATTGCTAGTGAAAGACTAGATATTGCAAATGAAGCACATCATTCTTACAGAAGACTACACACTACTATTAAAAATCGAAATCCTGTTAGCAGAAGACTTAATATTACTGTCAGAAGACCAAATTATGTTGTTAGAAGACTAGATATTGCCAATGGTACAAATCCTTCTCATAGAACACAACACAGTCTCTCCAGAAGACGAACTACTGTTGGTAGAAGACTAGATATTGCTGAAAAAGACTAGATATTGCTGGCAGAAGACTACGTATTGCTAGTAAAAGATTAGATATTGTAAATGAACCACATCTTTCTTAAAAAAAACTACACACTACTGCTAAAAAACGAAATACTGTTACCAGAAGACTTGATTTTGCTGTCAGAAAACCAAATTCTTTTATCAGAAGACTAGATATTACCAATGATGCAAATCCTTCTCATAGAACATAACACAGTCTCACCAGAAGACGAAATACTGTTGGTAGAAAACCAGATATTGCTGAAAAAGACTAGATATTGCTGGCAGAAGACTAAGTATTGCTAGTAAAAGATTAAATATTGCAAATGAAGCACATCATTCTTACAAAAGACTACACATTACTATTAAAAATCGAAATACTGTTAGCAGAAGACTTAATATTACTGTCAGAAGACGAAATTATGTTGTTAGAAGACTTGATATTGTCAATGGTATAAATCCTTCTCATAGAACACAACACAGTCTCACCAGAAGACGAACTACTGTTGGTAGAAAACCAGATATTGCTGGCGGAAGGCTAAGTATTGGTAGTGAAAGACTAGATATTGCAAATGAAGCACATCATTCTTACAGAAGACTACACACTACTATTAAAAATCGAAATACTGTTAGCAGAAGACTTAATATTACTGTCAGAAGATGAAATTATGTTGTCAGAAGACTAGATATTACCAATGGTGCAAATCCTTCTCATAGAACATAATACAGTCTCACCAGAAGATGAAATACTGCTGGTAGAAAACCAGATATTGCTGAAAAAGACTAGATATTGCTGGCAGAAGACTAAGTATTGCTAGTGAAAGACTAGATATTGCAAATGAAGCACATCCTTCTTACAGAAGACTACACACTACTACTAAAAAACGAATTACTGTTAGCATCAGACATAATCTTACTGTCAGAAGACCAAATTCTGTTGTCAGAAGAGTAGATATTACCAATGGTGCAAATCGTTCTCATAGAATACCACACAGTCTCACCAGAAGACCGTTCATAGGGAGTTGGATAACNACACTACTATTAAAAATCGAAATACTGTTAGCAGAAGACTTAATATTACTGTCAGAAGACGAAATTATGTTGTTAGAAGACTTGATATTGTCAATGGTACAAATCTTTCTCATAGAACACAACACAGTTTCACCAGAAGACGAATTACTGTTCGTAGAAGACTAGATATTACTGGCAGAAGACTACTTATTGCTAGTAAAAGACTAGATGTTGTAAATGAATTACATCTTTCTTAAAAAAAACTACACACTACTGCTAAAAAGCGAAATACTGTTACCAGAAGACTTGATTTTGCTGTCAGAAAACCAAATTCTTTTGTCAGAAGACTAGATATTACCAATGGTGCAAATCCTTCTCATACAGAAGACTACACACTACTACTAAAAAACGAATTACTGTTAGCATCAGACATAATCTTACTGTCAGAAGACCAAATTCTGTTGTCAGAAGAGTAGATATTACCAATGGTGCAAATCGTTCTCATAGAATACCACACAGTCTCACCAGAAGACCGTTCATAGGGAGTTGGATAACCTTATACAGTATCAATATAACCTTTATTGGTNAGCTAAATACTGTTACCAGAAGACTTGATTTTGCTGTCAGAAAACCAAATTCTTTTGTCAGAAGACTAGATATTACCAATGGTGCAAATCCTTCTCATAAAACATAACACAATCTCACCAGAAGACGAAATATTGTTGGTAGAAGACTGGATATTGCTGAAAAAGGCTAGATATTGCTGGCAGAAGACTAAGTATTGCTAGTGAAAGACTAGATATTGCAAATGAAGCACATCATTCTTACAGAAGACTACACACTACTATTAAAAATCGAAATCCTGTTAGCAGAAGACTTAATATTACTGTCAGAAGACCAAATTATGTTGTTAGAAGACTAGATATTGCCAATGGTACAAATCCTTCTCATAGAACACAACACAGTCTCTCCAGAAGACGAACTACTGTTGGTAGAAGACTAGATATTGCTGAAAAAGACTAGATATTGCTGGCAGAAGACTACGTATTGCTAGTAAAAGATTAGATATTGTAAATGAACCACATCTTTCTTAAAAAAAACTACACACTACTGCTAAAAAACGAAATACTGTTACCAGAAGACTTGATTTTGCTGTCAGAAAACCAAATTCTTTTATCAGAAGACTAGATATTACCAATGATGCAAATCCTTCTCATAGAACATAACACAGTCTCACCAGAAGACGAAATACTGTTGGTAGAAAACCAGATATTGCTGAAAAAGACTAGATATTGCTGGCAGAAGACTAAGTATTGCTAGTAAAAGATTAAATATTGCAAATGAAGCACATCATTCTTACAAAAGACTACACATTACTATTAAAAATCGAAATACTGTTAGCAGAAGACTTAATATTACTGTCAGAAGACTAAATTCTGTTGTTAGAAGACTAGATATTGCCAATGGTACAAATCCTTCTCATAGAACACAATACAGTCTTACCAGAAGACGAACTAGTGTTGGTAGAAGAGTAGATATTGCTGAAAAAGACTAGATATTGCTTGCAGAAGGCTACTTATTGCTAGTAAAAGACTAGATATTGTAAATGAAACACATCTTTCTTAAAAAAAAACTACACACTACTGCTAAAAAACGAAATACTGTTACCAGAAGACTTGATTTTGCTGTCAAAAAACGAATTATTTTGTCAGAAGACTAGATATTACCAATGGTGCAAATCCTTCTCATAGAACACTACACAGTACCGCCAGAAGACGAAATACTGTTGGTAGAAGACTAGATATTGCTGAAAAAGACTAGATATTGCTGGCAGAAGACTACGTATTGCTAGTAAAAGATTAGATATTGTAAATGAACCACATCTTTCTTAAAAAAAACTACACACTACTGCTAAAAAACGAAATACTGTTACCAGAAGACTTGATTTTGCTGTCAGAAAACCAAATTCTTTTGTCAGAAGACTAGATATTACCAATGGTGCATATCCTTCTCATAGAACATAATACAGTCTCACCAGAAGACGAAATAGTGTTAGTAGAAGACCAGATATTGCTGAAAAAGACTAGATATTGCTGGCAGAAGACTACGTATTGCTAGTAAAAGATTAGATATTGTAAATGAACCACATCTTTCTTAAAAAAAACTACACACTACTGCTAAAAAACGAAATACTGTTACCAGAAGACTTGATTTTGCTGTCAGAAAACCAAATTCTTTTATCAGAAGACTAGATATTACCAATGATGCAAATCCTTCTCATAGAACATAACACAGTCTCACCAGAAGACGAAATACTGTTGGTAGAAAACCAGATATTGCTGAAAAAGACTAGATATTGCTGGCAGAAGACTAAGTATTGCTAGTAAAAGATTAAATATTGCAAATGAAGCACATCATTCTTACAAAAGACTACACATTACTATTAAAAATCGAAATACTGTTAGCAGAAGACTTAATATTACTGTCAGAAGACTAAATTCTGTTGTTAGAAGACTAGATATTGCCAATGGTACAAATCCTTCTCATAGAACACAATACAGTCTTACCAGAAGACGAACTAGTGTTGGTAGAAGAGTAGATATTGCTGAAAAAGACTAGATATTGCTTGCAGAAGGCTACTTATTGCTAGTAAAAGACTAGATATTGTAAATGAAACACATCTTTCTTAAAAAAAAACTACACACTACTGCTAAAAAACGAAATACTGTTACCAGAAGACTTGATTTTGCTGTCAAAAAACGAATTATTTTGTCAGAAGACTAGATATTACCAATGGTGCAAATCCTTCTCATAGAACATAACACAGTCTCACCAGAAGACGAAATATTGCTGGTAGAAGATTACGTATTGCTAGTAAAAGACTAGATATTGTAAATGAATCACCATAGAAGACCAGATATTGCTGAAAAAGACTAGTTATTGCTTGCAGAAGACTATGTATTGGCTAGTGAAATACTAGCTATTGCTAATAGAGCACATCTTTCTTATAGAAGACTACACACTAGTACTACAAAACCGAATACTGTTAACAGAAGATTTAATTTTAATGTCAGGAGGACAAATTTTGTTGTCAGAACACTAGATATTACCAATGGTGCAAATCCTTCTTATAGAACACAGCTCAGTCTCACCAGATGGCGAAATACTGTTGGTAGAAGACTAGATATTGCTGGCAGAAGACTAAGTATTGCTAGTGAAAGACTAGATATTGCAAATCAAGCACATCCTTCTTACAGAAGACTACACACTAGTACTAAAAAACGAATTACTGTTAGCAGAAGACATAATCTTACTGTCAGAAGACCAAATTCTGTTGTCAGAAGAGTAGATATTACCAATGGTGCAAATCGTTCTCATAGAATACCACACAGTCTCACTAGAAGACCGTTCATAGGGAGTTGGATAACCTTATACAGTATCAATATAACCTTACAGTATGTTTACTCATCGGACCTCGAGAATAACCAGAAGTGACACTGGCGGGTTTAAATCGAGGCCATAAAACCACATATAATCATGCCTTTTTCTCCGCAGCTTGTAAAATTGATCTTTCTAATATCTTATTACATCAATTTTCACAAATTTATTAGTAACGTCAAATTTTAAGCTCTCAACTTTTAAGTTACATCTCCAAGAACTTTTTATAAAATCTAATGAGTGATACATCATTTTAAAGAGGGAACTTTTAGGTTTAATTCAATATATAAATAATTTTTTAAAGTTTAATTAAAATTTTTTTTACAATAACAATACAATTTCAATTTAATATCATTTTTCACACACAAACTTTGTTCCCCATACCGATTTAAGCGCGTAATTTGCCCCACCAACGCAAAAGACATCGTTTTCGTACCTTCTTTCGACAATTTCACGGTACCCTGAAATATCCCTTCGTTGGGTAAACTTTCCAAAGTCACCGTATAATGCAAATTCGCACCCACAATTTTTATTCGCGAATGCAATAATTTGTTTAAGTGTAATTTTTCGCATTTATCCCGTGGTGTTATTTTATTGATGGTCGATACAATTAATAACGCAGATTTGTACGAATCAAACGTTGAAATTGTGCGATCTTTATATCCACACGCGCAATATTCTAGAGGAATTTTAGCGTCATCGCAAGTTCGATTTTCAGGGATTTCTTGAAATAAACTGTAATGTTTCGATTTAATGTTATTATCGTTAAGATGGAGTAAATTTAGTAAGGTTTCGTGGATGTTGTAGGGCGTTGTTAATCTGTGTCGATTAATTTTAAAGTTTTCGTAAAATTTTTTGTGGCGCTTCTTGAATGATGGTGGGAAATAAAAGGAGATGTAGGGTAACATATCTTCGATTAATCCTTGGAATGAAAAAGAGCGAAATGGGCCAAATCGCGCCCCGTGGTCGCTATAAACGATTAAGATCGTATCTTGAAGAGTTTTCTTCATTAATTCGCTGTTGAAGAAATCGGAGATTGTTGGATCTGAAATTTTTGGTTTGAAAATGCTGTCGTGGGACATAATCGTTTCGAAAAAGTTTGCGAAAAATTTTAATTTGTGCCGATTCATTCTCTCGAGGAACTTTTCAACGTAATTTAAGAAGACTTTGTAAGTTTTTCTCGCCCCGAGGCAATCGTAAAAATACCCAAACTTTTTATTCCCGATTTTCGACTCAGCCTCCGCCATAAAATAATCAAACAAATAATCGGTTTTATGCTCATTTCGGAATCCCACCCAATCTCCACCGTGGAAAAGTCCGTGAGCAAATGTATCATCAGCGTAAGCAGTAACGAACCCATTCGTTTTAAAAACATCCCAAATAAACGAGCAATCATCGAAATAACTCGTGTAATTCCCCCAACATAATTGATTTAATTCCTCCATTGATACCCCAGCTAAAAGCGGCATTTGATTGGCAAAACTGGCATCTGCAACTTTGTTGTATCCAAATAATTCTTCGGCTCCAAGTCGATCGAGGACTCGTTTCGTATTCGGCCAATGGCGGTAAAAATTTAATCGCGATGTTCCATCAAACCCCATTAATAACACGTTAAAATTATCACCCCGAATTGAATACGAACTCTTCACTGGTACGAAAGCGAAAAAATCGGTATAAATCAGTTTCGTTTTATAAAAACATTCCACCATAATAAATTCGTCTTCTATTACAACTCGAGGTGTATCCGGGTAAAAATAAATCGTCGATGAATATTCGAAATTTTTATCAACATCTCCATCAAATTTTGGGGGGATTCTCCAAAATGAGGTGTACCCACAAATCAAATCATCCATTACAACTACGTCATAAAATTGTATTGAATTGTTTATTAAAAAAATCGAGTCGAAATCGGAGCCGATTAAAGCTGGGCGTCCTTCATTACATATTGAGATATTAACGTTTTCTTGAAGATATTGATTTACTTGGGAGTTGAACGGTTCGAAATCGGGTATTGTGCATCCTTCCGTTTTAATTGCGTAGCGTTTATTACAACTTACACTATTAATTAGATGGGGGAATAATGTAATGGTACTAAGTAATATTAATTTATACATTTCACTAGGACTTGGTTGAAGAAGACTGATTTAAATTGCTAAATTAACGCAGTGTAGCGATTAAAATATTCGCGGAATGTTTTAAAAAGAAACGATAATGTTCGTGATTAATTGGAATTAATTGATTAAAAAAATTTAAAATGAAATAAGTTGTCGTTAAGATAATTGGACCCAACGAGATTTTCGTTTTCATCTCTCTAAAAATATGACTTTTCAGAATAGATCAGAATAGACAGATTTTCCATGTTGCAATTTTCATCGATAATTTTTAAAATTCCACAAATTATTAATTAAAGTATCCTCTTTTTCGATCGACAATTCTTTCAAATTTTGTAATTTTCGCCGATTAAGTTTTAAAAATTCGTATAAAATCAAGTTTTTGGAATATGAGTATAAAAATTTCCCAAAATGTTAATAAAAGTGTCCTCTTTCCAATGAACCAACACGTTTTGAAAAATAACTTTTAGTTTTTGAGAAAACAATATTTGAAGTTTTGATAAAANGGTTGAAGAAGACTGATTTAGTTTGCTAAATTAACGCAGTGTAGCGATTAAAATATTCGCGGAATGTTTTAAAAAGAAACGATAATGTTCGTGATTAATTGGAATTAATTGATTAAAAAAATTTAAATTTTTAATTGGACCGAACGAGATTTCTCTAATCTCTCTAAAAATATGACTTTGCAGAATAGATCAGAATAGACAGATTTTCCATGTTGCAATTTTCATCGATAATTTTTAAAATTCCACCAATTATTAATTAAAGTATCCTCTTTTTAATGCAACAAGCCGTTTTGAAAAATCACTTTTAGTTCTTGAGAAATAAATTTTTGGAATGATCGACAATTTTTTCAAATTTTGCAATTTTCTCCAATTAAATATTAAAAATTCGTATAAAATCCAGCTCTTGGAGTATGAGTATGAAAATTTCCCAAAATGTTAATAAAAGTGTCCTCTTTCCAATGAACCAACACGTTTTGAAAAATAACTTTTAGTTTTTGAGAAAACAATATTTGAAGTTTTGATAAAATTTTCGATGTTGCAATTTTCATCGATAATTTTCAAAATTCGCTATAAAATTAATTTCTTGAAGGATCCTTGTGGAAATATCACCAATTATTAATTAAAGTATCCTCTTTTTAATGCAAAAAGCCGTTTTGAAAAATCACTTTTAGTTCTTGAGAAATAAATTTTTGAAATAATCGACAATTTTTTCGAATTTTGCAATTTTCGCCGATTAAGTTTTAAAAATTCGTATAAAATCGATTTCTTGGAATATAAGTATGAACATTTCCCAAAATGTTAATAAAAGTGTCCTCTTTCCAATGAACCAACACGTTTTGAACAATTACTTTTAGTTTTTGAGAAAACAATACTTGAAGTTTTGATAACATTTTCAATGTTGCAATTTTCAAAATTCGCTATAAAATTAATTTCATGAAGGATTCTTGTGGAAATATCACCAATTATTAATTAAAGTGTCCTCTTTTTAATGCAATAAGCCGTTTTGAAAAATCACTTTTAGTTAATGAGAAATAAATTTTTGAAACAATCGTAAATTTTTTCGAAATTTACAATTTTCGCCGATAAAGTTTTAAAAATTCGTATAAAATCGATTTCTTAGAATATGAGTATGAAAATTTCCTAAANTTTCTTGGAATATGAGTATGAAAATATCCCAAAATGTTAATAAAAGTGTCCTCTTTCCAATGAACCAACACATTTTGAAAAATAACTTTTAGTTTTTGAGAAAACAATATTTGAAGTTTTGATGACATTTTGCAACTTTCTCCGATTAAGTATTAAAAATTCGTATAAAATTCAGCTCTTGGAATATGAATATGAAAATTTCCCAAAATCTTAATAAAAGTGTCCTCTTTTCAATGAACCAACACGTTTTGAAAAATAACTTTAGTTTTTGAGAAAACAATATTTAAAGTTTTGATGACATTTTCGATGTTGCAATTTTCATCGATAATTTTCAAAATTCGCAATAAAATTAATTTCTTGAAGGATCCTCGTGGAAATATCACCAATTATTAATTAAAGTATCCTCTTTTTAATGCAAAAAGCCGTTTTGAAAAATCACTTTTAGTTCTTGAGAAATAAATTTTTGAAATAATCGACAATTTTTTCGAATTTTGCAATTTTCGCCGATTAAGTTTTAAAAATTCGTATAAAATCCATTTCTTGGAATATGAGTATGAAAATTTCCCAAAATGTTAATAAAAGTGTCCTCTTTCCAATGAACCAACACGTTTTGAAAAATAACTTTTAGTTTTTGAGAAAACAATACTTGAAGTTTTGATAACTTTTTCGATGTTGCAATTTTCATCGATAATTTTCAAAATTCGCTATAAAATTAATTTCTTGAAGGATCCTTCTGGAAATATCACCATTTATTAATTAAAGTATCCTCTTTTTAATGCAACAAGCCGTTTTGAAAAATCACTTTTAGTTCTGGAGAAATAAATTTTTGAAATAATCGACAATTTTTTCGAATTTTAGTTTTCGCCTATTAAGTTTAAAAATTCGTATAAAATCGATTTCTTGGAATATGAGTATGAACATTTCCCAAAATGTTAATAAAAGTGTCCTCTTTCCAATGAACTAACACGTTTTGAAACACAACTTTTAGTTTTTGAGAAAACAATATTTGAAGTTTTGATGACATTTTCGATGTTGCAATTTTCATCGATAATTTTCAAAATTCGCTATAAAATTAATTTCTTGAAGGATTCTTGTGGAAATATCACCAATTATTAATTAAAGTATCCTCTTTTTATCCACTTTTATCCACTTTTAGTTCTTGAAAAATAAATTTTTGAAATGATCGACAATTTTTTCGAATTTTACAGTTTTCGCCTATTAAGTTTTAAAAATTCGTATAAAATCCAGTTCTTGGAATATGAGTATGAACATTTCCCAAAATGTTAATAAAAGTGTCCTCTTTCCAATGAACCAAAACGTTTTGAAACACAACTTTTAGTTTTTGAGAAAACAATATTTAAAGTTTTGATGACATTTTCGATGTTGCAATTTTCATCGATAATTATCAAAATTCGCTATAAAATTAATTTCTTGAAGAATCCTTGTGGAAATATCACCAATTATTAATTAAAGTATCCTCTTTTTAATGCAACAAGCCGTTTTGAAAAATCACTTTTAGTTCTGGAGAAATAAATTTTTGAAATAATCGACAATTTTTTCGAATTTTACAGTTTTCGCCTATTAAGTTTTAAAAATTCGTATAAAATCGATTTCTTGGAATATGATTATGAAAATTTCCCAAAATGTTAATAAAAGTGTCCTCTTTCCAATGAACTAACATGTTTTGAAAAATAACTTTTAGTTTTTGAAAAAACAATATTTGAAGTTTTGATGACATTTTCGATGTTGCAATTTTCATCGATAATTTTCAAAATTCTCTATAATATTCATTTCTTGAAGGATACTTGTGGAAATATCACCAATTATTAATTAAAGTATCCTCTTTTTAATGCAAAAAGCCGTTTTGAAAAATCACTTTTAGTTCATGAGAAATAAGTTTTTGAAACAATCGTAAATTTTTTCGAATTTTACAGTTTTCGCCGATAAAGTTTTAAAAATTCGTATAAAATCGATTTCTTGGAATATGAGTATGAAAATTTCCCAAAATGTTAATAAAAGTGTCCTCTTTCCAATGAACCAACACGTTTTGAAAAATAACTTTTAGTTTTTGAGAAAACAATATTTACAGTTTTGATGACACTTTCGATGTTGCAATTTTCATCGATAGTTTTCAAAACTCGCTATAAAATTAATTTCTTGAAGAATTCTTGTGGAAATATCACCAATTATTAATTAAAGTATCCTCTTTTTAATGCAATAAGCCGTTTTGAAAAATCACTTTTAGTTCTTTTGAAATAAATTTTTGAAATAATCGATAATTTTTTGAATTTTACAGTTTTCGCCGATTAAGTTTTAAAAATTCGTATAAAATCCAGTTCTTGGAATATGAGTATGAAAATTTCCCCAAATGTTAATAAAAGTGTCCTCTTTCCAATAAACCAACACGTTTTGAAACACAACTTTTAGTTTTTGAGAAAACAACATTTAAAGTTTTGATGACATTTTCGATGTTGCAATTTTCATCAATAATTTTCAAAATTCGCTATAAAATTAATTTCATGAAGGATTCTTGTGGAAACATCACCAATTATTAATTAAAGTGTCCTCTTTTTAATGTAACAAGCCGTTTTGAAAGATCGCTTTTAGTTTTTGAGATATAAATTTTTGAAATGATCGACAATTTTTTCAAATTTTGCAATTTTCGCCGATTAAGTTATAAAAATTCGTATAAAATCCAGCTCTTGGAATATGGATATGAAAATTTCCCAAAAACTTAACAAAAGTGTCCTCTTTCCAATGAACCAACACGTTTTGAAAAATAACTTTTAGTTTTTGAGAAAACAATATTTAAAGTTTTGATGACATTTTCGATGTTGTAATTTTCAAAATTCGCCATAAAATTCATTTCTTGGAGGATTCTTGTGGAAATATCACCAATTATCAATTAAAGTATTCTCTTTTTAATGCAACAAGCCGTTTTGAAAAATCACTTCTAGTTCTGGAGAAATAAATTTTTGAAATAATCGACAATTTTTTCGAATATTACAGTTTTCGCCTATTAAGTTTTAAAAATTCGTATAAAATCGATTTCTTGGAATATGAGTATAAAAATTTCCCAAAATGTTAATAAAAGTGTCCTCTTTCCAATGAACCAACACGTTTTGAAAAATAACTTTTAGTTTTTGAAAAAACAACATTTGAAGTTTTGATAAAATATTCCATGTTGCAATTTTCATCGATAACTTTCAAAATTCGCTATAAAATTAATTTCTTGAAGGATCCTTGTGGAAATATCACCAATTATTAATTAAAGTATCCTCTTTTTAATGCAACAAGCCGTTTTGAAAAATGACTTTCATTTCTTTAGAAATAAATTTTTGAAATAATCGA